ATAGACTTTATCCAGAGTGACCTTTATAATTATTTATGTATTAGTTCATTAGACTAAAAAAAAAAGAATATTAAAAAGGCATTACTTATATTTAATTTGTTAAGTACATTTTAAAGTGGGTATTGTTAAATATTAATTTATATGAGGTATATGAAAAAAAACTAAAACTCGATGTATTGACCGATCCAATTACGAAAATTGTTGACTAAAATACTATCTTATCTATGGTGGCTAAAAGGTCGATTTTTAATTTTGGTTTGAATAATTTTGTTTTAAATGTTTATAATTTACTCTAAAACTATAAATCTATAAATCCAATTACTTTTCTCATAGCTTAATCAAAAATTAGACTTTTAACCGCCACAGAGAAAACTTTAAGCTTCACATTAAAATTAAAATGGAAATCCGTCTTACTATTATGTTATAAAATGACTTTACGAGTAACTATTTATCAAACTAACGCCAAAACTGAGAAAAATGATATTAAAAGTTACAAAACTAGAAAAAAATAATATTTGTATGCTTTAAAATTAGTTGGTATGTTTACTTTTTTTCTTGTTTCATCTGATAATATTAATTTATGTTATTAAAATATAATTCCCTATTAAAAAAAACCCATTTTATATTGTTATAAAGGTAACTGTTAGCTTAACAAAAATTTTAATAACGTAAAACTTGATGTTTGATATAACTACCTTGATAAAAAAATATATATCTAACAGAGGGTAAAATGTACCCACCCAGTTAATATAAATGTACTAATTTTTCAGCTAAAAAAAAGTCAAATAAAATCTAAAATTAGTATAATGTTCTCTGCAAAGGGGAAAAAGGGTTGTAATACTATTATTTATATCCACATAATTTGTCAAATAACACAAGAATTATTTATTCCATTACAAACCAGTCTTTGGTTTCACTTAATACATTTTTGTTTTACTCTTAATAGGTGAATTAAATATGTAGCTTAAAATTTGACTGCTAAAAGTTACCCACAACAATTATACTAAGTAGTAACTACTGTAAAATTGCTGTGTTTTGATTTAATAATAGTTTTTTTTTATTGTCTGCGATAGGTATATATACCTACAGCAATCTCTTGTTTATCGTTGACAATAACATCCCCTCTCCACACCCTCTCAATAGGTCTTGCTACCAGACGGTTAGTGGTCTGCCACAAATATAATAAAACATAATTGTCTTGTTTAAAATGACACATAAATATAAAAATATAAATAAGAATTTTACCGAAAGAAAATAGCTAATTTGGTTTGGGGGGCTAATGCTCTCCCACCTCTAAGTCCGCCTATGTATATAGCTTGAACACCCAACAGAGGAAGAAGTGAGAGGGGGAATCGATTCGGTCATGGGAGGGAGGGGGGTAAACGTATGGAAATAGTAACCACAAGTTCATTAAATATGTTGCAAAATCAAAAACAAATATAAAAACCAGCCTTTTTAGCAGTTTTGTATGATTTTGAGAAATTTTGTACTTTTTCAAAACTCCTATGCGGTCAAAAAAAAAGTTTTATATATAAAAATTGTAGGAAATTCAGCTTTCCACAATTTACTAGTTCAATATTATCAGCTAAAATTAACCGTTTTCGAAATATATCGAATAAAACCAAAAAAAATGCGAAAATTTTGGGGTTTTCCCAAAATTCCACAAGGTTTTTTTGTTGGATAAATTGGGTGAGGCACTACTGGACACCCATAAACAACTTCCCAAAGTTTCATTAAAGTTGGAATTTTTCGAAGGTACCCCCGCGATTTGATCCTCTGACGACTGGACTATCAAATGTATTGTAGTATGTTAAGTATGTAATCAGTGAATGTACAACTAACAAACTGAGAGCATTTAATTCTTTAGTCACTCATACATTATAGATTCCAATGTAGAAGAGAAGTTTTATCTAACGACTAAAAATTGTTTAGTTGAAATGTTTTATTAAATAGTCAATGTCAACTGGTTCCACCAAAGATTACAAAAACTGAATACATTTAGAACAAAAATGTAACAGATGTAACTCTAATTATATCCACCCTTAAACTAAACATTCATTTTCATGCACATAATTGTTATTAGGTACAATGCTCTTATCGATATTTGTTTTTTTATCTATGATCACTGGATTGCTCTTTGAGGCCCAAATTTGGGTTTCCGAACCATAATATGTAAGGTTTTATTTTATGCTTTGAATTTTCGTTGTACGTTATAAATGCGTAAACAACACACGGCTAGTTTTTTTTGCGTTTTATTTACCTTAAATTCGTATCGGTATGAAAAAACATATGAGTCATAATAATACACATAAAAAAGCTCTTTAATGGTAGATGTACTCAGATTTTTTGTACTATTAAATGCGTTAGTAAGACCTTGGAGTTTTATTATGTTAAACATACTCGATATAGACACAAATGTATTGTATACCTTTAGTCAAAATTTACAGAAATGAGAAAATTGTAAATACATTTGTAGTACATATACTATTATTTATATAATAATAAAAACAATTATAAATTATTACGAATACATACATTTTTTTTGTATTGTATGTGTTTTATTATTATCCATATTCCTACAATTGGTCTTAGGACACCTAAAAATGTCTACATCCGGTCATGAATAATGTTACTATATTATTTTTATATTCAACATTTTAAACTTTTATCATTACTTTTCTAAATAATTGTATATTCATTTTCTAAAACGGGAAAACGTATTGAAAACACGTTTTAAGTTGTATTATTTATTTAAAATAAGAAGACTACTTGTTTTGCATGCTTGTTCAAACAGTTACAGTCATACACCTATGTCCTAAATAAGAAAATATTCGAAAAAAAAACAACTTATTTTATCATTGACTTAGCTATATTATTTGAAGTTTCCAACGTTAAAAAGGTTTTAATTATTATTGTATTTTGGGTCCATGCATTTTTTACTTGACTAATTAAAATTGTAGGGCAACTGTCAGTATTCCGAATTTAGTTTTATAAATGTATAGAAAAAAAACCAGTACAGTGGGGTCGGGGCATAGTGGGGACGGAGCATATTTGGGTCGTGGCAGAGTGGGGACGGGGGAGGTCACAGGTTTACAGGAATTTTTATAAATAAAAGTGATAAAATTGAATAAAATCACTTTGCTGGTTTATACTGTGATTGGTTTGGACTGTACCGGCTTGAAAATACTAATTACCGATTTGCATCGAAGCGTTTTTTCGAAAGTGATTTTATCACTTTCAGATTTAAAAATTCCTGTAAACCTGTGACCTCCCCGTTCCCACTCTGACCCGACACAAGTATGCTCCGTCGCCACTATGCCCCGACCCCACTGTACTGGTTTTTTAGTACTTAAACCTATCAACCTTACACACTTCATCATAATTCAGATGTGTGATGAGGTTGAAAGGTTTAAGTACTTGGGACAGTGGCGGATTTGAGGGGGAGGGCGATGGGGCAATCGCCCCCCTCCCTTGGCCCGAGTATTGGCCCAAGAAAAAAGTGGTTGTAATAAATTTCGACCATGTCAATTAATTTACCTGTTAATTTGTATAAGCTTCATGGTATTATTTTCAATTTAAATCATTTTGTCTATGAGTAAAAGCCATTTTAGTTAATATAATAGTAAATTTTTTGTTCCGTCGCTGAAATCAGATTTGAATTCGTCATGAAGTTTACTTGAGATCGGTCAGCGTACTTTTTATAAATTTTAAAATTTTAAAATCAAATTTGAAAAGTGTCAAAATTAAAAATTGAAAAAAGTACTCTGACCGATCCTAAGTAAACTTCGTGGCGAATTCAAATCTGTTTTCAAATTACTTATCGGTACTGGTTCGGCCTGTGCGATGGCCAAAAAATGATGTGTTTTGACTGAAAAAAACGGCCAGTATCAAATCCCCTTAAATGTAGATAATATTATTGAAAGATTTGCTAAAGAAAAAAAAAAGGCATTGATTTTATATTATAGATATCTGAGTATTGTACTTTACTTAATTATAAGTATGTATTTGATATTTAAACAAACTTGTTGTAGCTATTTTCTATGAAAGTTTATCGGGTCAAAATTAAACTGAATTAATAATGATTAATTAAAAAATAACTAATCAAAATAATTAATACATATTGTAACATATTTTGTAGACGATTAATAAAAAGTAAAAATCAAAAAAAGGTAATTTTATTATACCTACAAAAAACGAAAATTCGCCCCCCCCCCCCCTTGGACAACCCCTGGATCCGCCACTGACTTGGGATCGGCGGTACAAAAAAATGGTGGGTACGAGGAGGATGTGAAAAATAGAATAAATTGTGGATGGATGAAGTGGAGAGGAGCGTCGGATGTTTTGTATGACAGTAGGATACATATAAGATTGAAAGGTAAATTTTATAGGTCGGTAGTAAGGACCGCAATGTTATATGGGTCGAGTGTTGGGCAGTATATAAGAAAACTGAACAGAGAATGTATGCCTTGTATGCCTCAAGGTGTGAAAAAACATATAATAAGAATTTTACTTTTAAATTACTTATAGTAGGCATTCATTTTTAAAATATCATGCAACGCAAAATAAACTGTTTAAAATATGGTTTTGTCCAACTATAGTTTACACTCTTTACTGAGTTATTGCCTCCACAGCGGGCGCGATATGAGTAGGTACACAAAGAGTACAGGGAAAATACCACGAAAGTCCCTTTTTTTGTAATCTAAGAAAAACATGTTTAAAAAAATGCCCTATTATTGTTTTTTTTTTTTCAAAAAGTCTTGCCTGTTTCTCTCTGTACCCTTCATATAACTTTAGGTATGTCACATTCTTGTAAGTACCGCATTACACCGACCGGACAAAATGGGGGAAAGTAGGTCATTAACAATTGAATCCGATTGGTCTAGAAGTTTGTTATCGTCATGATATCTTGAAGAAAGCTTATTTTTTCCTAAGTAAACAAAAACACCGAAGACTTATAGTATTTACAAGTAACCTAAGAAAATATGACGTATTCGAAAAGTCGCAAACCCAACTAACAAAAAGAAACCCGAGGACCACTAACAGTATTAGTGTGGTTTTTAGTTTCTTGGCGTTGAGTTTATCAAACATAAAAAAGTAAGAGATATTTGAATTTATTTTTCGTTAGACAATGGTATAAGTTTTCCTTTAGATTTTAAAAATATTTTTTCTTATTGCCAACATCAAACCATTACAAATGAAACATATTTATATTTTTTTCCCTCGAAAATAATTAAAATTTGGTTACGTTTAAATTTTAACGTTCAAACTTAACCTTTTTTAATTTTGTAAAGTATCCAAAATTTTAACATTTTTTGGTATTCTTTAGAGCGCTATCAACTTTTGAAATTTTTTGTATCGTATACCTATAGTATTCAAGTATTCCTATAGTTTTCAATTAGTAAATTAAAAATAATTAATTGACAATTCTTACTGGTCGATAGGATTGGAATTATTCAATTTTTAAAATTTAAAGCTAAGGAATTAAACTTTTATAATTATTAAATACAATTTTATAATTATTAAAGCACAATATAAAAATACAAATATACAAGAAATACGACAACAGTATTAATAACAGCGTATTTTAGTAATATTTTTTTCTATTAGGCGATGATGTTTTAAATTGCACTTGGCTATATTTTTATTCGTTTCAATATTGTAATTTATAAAAAATGATGAGTTTTTTTATTGTTTTAGGTATTTACGATGAAATCTTACATGAGTGTTGCGCTAGTTGCAGTGTATTTATTCGGTCTTATTGTAAGTAAATATAGATTTTGGACTAAATTTTAACTATTTCATTATAAATCTTTAGTTTGATCCTTTCCTCTCAATATTCTTATACATACCATTAAGTATTATTGTTTTCGTACATTTTTGTAGAAGAAAAATGTTTAGTTTATATTAGTTTTTTTTTTTTTTAGTAATAACCTCAATAGTTTAATCATTATATTAATTTTATTATATTGTTCAAATTTATACAACTACTTACCTATGTTATTTTTTTTTTAATAGAAATAAACATAATTTCATAATGTTTTAAGAATATTAATTGGATTTTACTTTTTTATGGATTATAATATGATTGAAAATAACTGCAGTGAATCATCAATCATAAATGTACGATATCGATCTTGATATACATATAAGCAATATAGCACACATGTTATTTAGTCCCCAGAGCCTCTATAAGTCCATAACAAATATTCTATGTCGTGCCCCTATTGCATGTTCTCAATAAAAGGTATTAATAATCTAACCTAACCTACTTATTTGTTGTCTGTATAAATAGATTTAGATGAAATTGTGTTAAATAACCGCATATGCTCGCGCTCTTTTATGATATCTATAATATCACTGATAGAGAAGTCTGTGAAACTATAATAATGTTAGTACATGTCTTTCAGGTTTCTTTGAATAGTTCGCCTATTAGCAGCTGCCTACCAGGGACATCAGGGAAATCAAACGCTATGACCGAAGCTATAAGCAAATTGGAAAATAACGTAAATATACATAAAAACTAATTTGTACTTATTTAGGTCAAGCACTAATGATTTCTGGATCCTCTTTCATTTCATAATAAATTTTCTTTGACCTATCTTAAGTAAAACTGCAAGACTAGTGTACTTTAATACATTGGGTATTTGATGACAGTCGACAAGAACTCTATGTTATACTAGTAATAATACTAATACCATTGATTATAATTATTTATTATTATTATTATTTATAATCAATGCTAATACTATAGTAAGTAATATATGGGCCCTTTCAGATTTCGACTTGCGGAGTTTCAAAAGCATCACCCAAACCTGTACCAAACGTAGAAGGAACTGCTAAAATATTAAATGGTAAAAAAGATGATGGCCAAATAATTTGCTGTAAGTATAAAAATAATTATTTTTCTTTAATGAGCAAAGCGAAAATAAGGGTATTAAATGATCCAATTTCAGAGACTATTGTTCTTTTATTGGGTTTTCTTGTGAAGCCTAACCGAGAAGGCATACATCACAAAAATATTAGGTTTCAAAAGATCTCTAAAAAAATGTACTTTTTTGGAATAGTAGACAGTAAAGTCTGAAATTATTACAAAAGATAGATTTACAGTATACTGTAAATCTATATAAAGAGAAATTTAACTACAAATTTGTAGTGTTTCTCTTTGAAAATATTTTTGATTATACTTTATTACTATATGAGACAATATTTAAATTTTTATCTTTTTTAGTATTTGCTAAAGCTCTATCAACTTATATATTTAATTGACTTTAAAAATTAAGAATAATTTACTTAAAAAATTGACTGGTCGATAACCAGTTACGAATAATTATTTTCTTGCGGTTGAGATAAAAAAAACTCTACTCTCCTCCCGTCCTGGCAATTTTTACCCTGGCATTTTTTAATGAGTTTATCTTTCAACATAACTTAATATAGTAGCCGAAGAACTCGAATCTCTTCACAAAAATTAAAATTGAACCAACACATATAGTCGAAACTTTGGATGATTTTTTGGTCTAAAAATTAATCAAAAAATGCTTCTTTTACTCATAGAAACAATGTTTGAAATTAAAAATAATACCTTGTAGCTTATACAAGTTTACTGATAAATTAATTGACATGGTAGACATTTATTAAAACCTTTTTTTCCCCTTAAACATTGCCTATATTAAGACTCCTTAAAAATAAACCACATATTTGGCAAACAATTTGTTTAAATTATTTTTCTATAATCGAATGTTATCATCAAGTGCGTTTTCCGCCAATGGTTTTTTTCCGATTTACGCCAATATATATTACAACATGTTACCTAACTAAATATTTTATTAGTTTAATAAAATGACGAGACTAAACCTGAAATGTTATTTGTATACAGTTTCGGAATTAAAACTAGACACAGAGTTCAATTTACGAGCTACCGATGCTTGGAAAGAGATTCTTGATGGACTAATAAAAAACGGAAATTCAGCAGACCAAGAAAATAATGCACGTGTGTTATTATTAGTTTATACAAAAACAAAATTAATGAAGAAAGTGGGCGAGAAGAAATTAAGATCAGAAGAATGTAAAGGTATCGACGATAAACTAAATGGGGCCATCGATTTGTTCATAGGAGAAGTGAAATCGGAGTATTTGAAACAAAACAAAAGTATTGATAAAAAGAATATATGATAACACATTTATTTTGTTTGAATGGAGCTCCATTGTTTATTTTTTATAATAAACTATATATTATACATTTTTCGTTTATATTTTAATTTGTCACATGTGTATTGTTTACAGTTAAACATTACACATAATATATTTCCCGCCAATTGTATTTATTTTATTTGGCCAAAATAAACATATTTTATTATCTATTATTTATTAAAGATTTAAAGCTAATTTTAAACGTTGTCTCGCCGTTAACAAAGGAAATAGATTATTCTTAATTCTCCTTCTTATCTTGTATTAAATATAATATTATTCTATGTAACTCGATAAAACAAAAAAAAATTTAAAAAATGGTCGAATAACGTAATTATTCAATAATTGACTTACACAACAAGCTGGAAAAAAGACCGATGAGATAAAATAAATAATCAAATATGATTACAGAATGAAAATTTGATCATTCCAAGTAGGCATAATTTTATCAGGCTTTTAGGTCTAAAATGGTTTCTTGTACCACCAAAACGGGGTTTAACCCATAGAAAAAAAACAAACGTTAACAAATATTATAATACCCTAAAATAAAATTGATATGGTCGACATATTTTATTAAAACCATTTTTTTCTTAGATTTTGCCTGTATAAAACAACTTAAAAACCACCCACTTTCAATTCCCTTAACAGCCATCATTTCACAATTTAAGATTTAATATTGAATCTTATAATATCCGATGTTATAATTATACATGGTCTAAATATTTTGTATAAAGTTTAAACAGCAGTGGTAATTTTTGAAAATATGACCCTCAGTCCTCCCTCGAAGATTCAAATTTTCAAAACGTTTAATTAATATAAATACTAATAATATAAACTGCTAATAAAGTTTCCTCAATACTATCATAATTAATGTAAAAATACAAATTTTAGATCTAACTAAACGATTTAAATTTATTATTCGAATTTTAATAATACCCAGTTTTGATTTAAAGAATTTTCAAACTATATTGTATAATTAATGTTTCTTTTTTGACTTTATAAGTGTAAAATAATTGAAATATTTTTTTATTTATTTAAATTTTTCTATTATTCATTTATGTCCATCAATAAAATAATTGTTATCGGTGCGGAGCTGAGAACCTAACAACCTTTCGTCCGTCACGTTTGCCACACTGCTAAACTATCACGCCAAACTGTTTTTCCTTATCAATGTACAAATCTGTTATCACTAACCAAAATATACAAGTTACAGCACACTGTAGTACCTATATTAATTATTAATTAAAATTGAAAATGACTGCCATTTATTTCCATCATCCGAACGCATTGAATTTTACTGAGGCTCGAGTTTACCATATCTAAAGTAAGTTGTTGAAGTTTTAGCAATTGACGCATCAATGTGAGGCCGGTAAAACGAAAGGACAGGGAGGGCAACAACTATCATGACATGCCGTCCAAGAACAAAAAGATCCGACAAGAAATGGAGAAAGCCAGTGATTTCTCTGACATCGAAGACTCAGGTAAAGTATTCAATGGCAACCGAATCCCAGCGATATTACCTCCGACTGGGTCGGCAGAGGAGATGGCCTATGATTAGCACTCACATCGTCGCAAAACAGTTTCAAAAGTTATTACGGCGATATCACCATCCATCCGTTCCACATGGTACGATTGTTGCACACATATCTAACCCATTACTAATCATACTTGTCAATATCCACACACGCGTGTACTTTTAGAGTCTGACCAGCATCGTTGGCGCCAACGGCAGCGGCAAGAGAAACAATATTGATAATTGACCCAACTTGAAAACAAAACATTTCAAAACAAATGTAAGTATTAAATTATTTAAAATGTTAAAAAAATAGCTACGTCTTGATGTTTTGAATTTGAAATAATGCACATGAATTAAACAAGCAAATTACGACTCGGGCTAAAAATTAATATTTAATAAAGGAATAACTAACTTCCATAAAAGAAGAACTGAATGAAACAATAGCTGAGAGTAAGGAAGATAAAGCCCAAAGCGGAAAATAAACATTCGACTGGTATGCTCGAGTATTTAGAAGACGCCATTGGCACCGCTCGGTATAAGGTTTAAAACAAAACATTGAGGTTAAAATTTTTATTAAAACTTTGATTTTGCTCTAGAAACCACTTGAAAGGCTGGCCGAAAAATGCAAGTTTTGGGCGAAGAGAAAAATGAAAAAATAAGTTGTTTAAAGTTTATCGCAAAAGAAAGAGACAAACTCATAGAACCAGTGGAAACGGCTATTAGATATTTGAGAACGGAAAACCAGTTGATCCAACTTGAAAACAAAAAATTTCAAAAACAATTGTAAGTATTTAGTTTTTTTTTTTTTAATGTTAAAAAATACGTTGTCTTGTTGGTTTTTTATGTTAAAATAATCTTTAAGGTCTGAAGTGAACAAACAAATTGCGAATAAAACGGAAGATCAAAATTCAATAAAGGAAAATTAAATGCTATAGAAGAAGAATTTGAAACAATAGCCGAGAGTAAGAAAGATAAAGAAGACGTTTTGCGCAATCTTACTGAGTGAGTTCCTTGAAATACCATTTTAGTTGTTTTCATATTACTTCATTATTATGTGTCTTTATTTGGTCGTGTGTATTTTTTCCAACAAAATAAATATATTGTTTTTAGAAAAATGTATTTATTATCGATTATATTACTTATAAATGTATATTTAAAATTGAAAGTTTATAACAATATCTAATTTAAGTACGCTTTTGATTGTTAAACTCTAATGTGGTTTTGAACAGATTAAGCCTCAAGGAATGCCGAAAATTAGAAAAGCCGCATTCAAGCGTTTGCAGTCAAGTTTGGCGTCAAAGTGAAGTGAAAATGTTAGATAAAATCGCCAAAAATTTTAACAAAATCTGAGGAACACTTAGACGAGCATTTACGACAATCAGGCCGGCGTAGAGCAGAATCGTAGACGAATCACCGATCTAAACATGATTGTCAAGCAGTGTTCATCGCGTATTAACGTAAGTGTTTACTGCCGACCACTACGACAAGTGGGAACTTAAATAATAATTTTTTTTTTATTAGGTGTGGAATGAAAAAGAATATCAAGTTAACAAATTGATAAAAAAAACTTGTAATCATACAAAAGGAAACCGACCTAGTCGCAGTTGCCAAAAAGGAGGCAGAAATTAAAAAAGCCGAAAAAGGTAATGTAAATTTATTAAAATATTTATTACCTATTTATTTTTTACATATATTTTACAGAATTGGAAGAAGCCAATAAAGAATACAATGAGATCAAGTCCAAAACGGACAAACTGAAACAGAAAATTGAAGAAATTACAGAAGGTTTGCCGAAAGAAGCTAAACGACTTTTAGACGAAGCGACCGCTAAATTGGAAAAGACCTGTAGTGAAATCAATCAAGTTAACGTCGACATACAAGCAGCTGAAAGGTATAAAATACATCGTAAATGCCGTATTACAGAAGAATAGTAATGAAGAAGACACTTCCAATAAACCACAAGAAAACCAAAATCTCAGTGATAAGATAAATGTTCAAGAGCCAAAAAAAAAAAACCAAGAAAACGTTGAGGATGAATAAACACAATTTACTATTATTTTACGCTTTGTATATTAGATAAACTAGTGTTACGTTTTTAAATTGATTCAAAAATTATTGTTGTTTCGAATAAAATACAATTCAAACAAGTTGTATGTACTTAACGTAGGTTGTTAATTTAAAAATTTGGATAATGTTGTGGAATTCTTTTGTACATAACGATCTTTCGGCTGATAATGATAATTGCTTGTTATAAATTGCGGTATATTACTTATCATGTGATTAAGTTGTTATAAATGATAAATCGCCAGAACTGTACGAAAATAAACCTTATATACTCATTTCACAAAATTGGTTCAATTTAAAACAACCTTTTTTAGGACTTGGGGCTTATTTTTATTTAAATTAATAATGAAATATTTGTAATGCATTTTTTTTTATGCATCAACTAATTTTATAATTGAAATAAATATCTCATTCTACTGTTAAAGTTAATGAATTATTTAAAATGTATTAAATTTTATTGGAACTATTTTTTATTAGACTGAAATTATTATTTGTTTGTAATATTTTTCTAGAAATAAATTTACTTACTTTGTATTTAAATAAAATAATGTGTAAGTTAACAATTAAAATAAGTTTTTACTGTTTTTTTTTTGAATTCGTACAAATAAAAAAATGATTTAAATTTAAATTTCAATGATGTCCTGGTTTGCAATTTTTTGGCTAATATAATTTAACTAAGAGTTTAATCTTACCAAATAAAGTTTGGTTAAATATTAGTTAAAAATGTTCATTACCGTGTGTCGGTAACAAATCTGTCAAATGAGTTTTTATTTTGTCTTTTTCTATAAGTAAATATTAGTCTTGCTTAAAGCCGCAGACCGCAAATTCAAACGAAAAAAACGCTTTGAAGTAGCGGTTAGTTTTAAAGGAAGCGTTTTGAATATATATTAAGATTATGTAACCAAAAGGACTGCTAGGTATTCTGAAATGGTAAACAAAAAAAAAAAACATCAGTGATTCATTTAAAAGCGTTTAAGAGAAACAAAAGAATTGATTATTTAACGATCGGGTTTTATGTATTATTAAAAGTAAACCTGAAAATCCCAAAACATATTATTACGTAGTACTTGGAGAAACCGGCTTTCTATTAAGCAATACCTAAATTGTTATTATTGTAATAATTGCATTAGCTGCATTTCCACACAGTGCATGCTTACTCGGTGGTAATCGTTTTAAAATTTGATTGGCAGTAGATTCGAGTGAATTCGGCGCGGGTTGACAATATTATGTAATTTAAATATTAGGCATATTTCTTTGGCTTACAAGTGAAGTACATTAAGTCGATAATTAAGATAATATGACTTGACGGGTTTCATCAGCTTAAAAGATTGCAACATTTTAGACCGCCAGAAAAGCCAAAAAACTAAAACTACAAAATATCGACTTGGTGTAAAACACGGTTTTAATCCTAACCGTTTTAACGGTGTACTATACACATGTATGGTACTAACCAAAATCAAGTACCGCAACTGTGGTACCTAAATAGTGGTATCTGTGTTTAAGATTTTCTCAGTATTCGCAAACGGAAAAATGGCCGCCCGCCGCAGTGATCGTCGAAGAGGAGAAACGATAATGACGTCGAGCCAGGGGTGGGCCAGGGTGGGCCGCGGCTCACCCTAAAATCTTCTCGGCCTCCGGCTGGCCCACCCTGTATGATTTCAACGTATTTCTGTTTAGTATTACCATTGAGTACAATATATACTCAATGGCATTATTTATCCTATATAAACACCATAGGGCAAATTCCAATAAAATAAAATAGAGGGTGCTTAAGCTCTGCGTTTTCCAGGTGTTTATATTTGAATTTGAATTGATTAGGTAAATGTTTTTTTTTTAGCTAAGGTATTCTACAACAGTTTAACACTTTAGTTTATTAACATGTACATTTTTTATCAAAAAATAATAAAAATGAATACAATATTACAATTTACAGGTATTTTATACGATGTATGTATGTTGTTCTGCAAATGTGTCTATAACATTGTTTATGTCAATTCAAAATTATCATATAACTTTTTATGTATAATATTGACAAATCTGTAAGTCTGCCCTGCGCTATTGAAACCCTAAGCTGAGTGTTTATTTTTCTTAAAGCACAAGACCAACGTTGACAAACGCAGAACTAATGGGTATTGTGAGAGCCATCTGAAATAATTGTTAAATGCTTCTCAGTAATAAATACTGTTGTCTACTGTGCAAAATGTTTTTGATCTTTTCGTATTAAACATTTTCATAAGCAGAGGTTTTAATAAGTGAACACGAAAAACATTAGAGGGTGCTAATATTAACATTTGGGGTGGTTTAACCCTCTAAGCCCTATGGGGGGCCTATGGTAAATACAATGAATCAGAAAACAAGTATTACACGCAATAGAAAATTATTCCCCAACGCCGTTCAGATAGTTTACATACAAAGTATTTTTTAACACGTGTGTCGTGTGTGGCTAATATCGCAATGGAATAACATACTTACAAATGTTAACTTAGCAAGCGGTGACTCGTTAGTGCAAATATAAAAACTTACCGCACCAAATGGTCATAAGTAAAGCATACATTGAATCCGATTTGTCTATAAAATGTTGAAGAAAGCATAGTATTTACTCTATGTGATCATAACAAAACGCACAAAAATGAGCATTAAACACAATTCAAGAACATACTGCGACATGTGAAAGGTCGCAATTTTTACTATACAAAGGCCTAAGCATTAATAGTGTTTTTTTTTAAGTTACTATACTTTAGGTATCGACTATAAAAAAAGGTAAGTAAAGTTTGAAATTGTTCTCCACGAGACATTGATATTTTATTCTTTTTGTTTTTATAGTTAATAAGTACACAATTACAAGAACTAAAGATGTAATGTCCCATAATGCTTGATTTTATTTTAAATGAGTAGTGTAATGTCATTTATCTATACTCAATATACCATAAATATTATGCGGAAGCCTATTCACAAAATAATACATTTGAATACTTATACAAATAGTAATTTTTACAGATATATTAAATACACATGGCTCGCACGCATTTATTAAAATGTAATAGCGTAATGTATTTAAATTTAAAAATATGATTTTATAATAATAAAGCAGAGCTTAACACGATTTAAGGACATAAACACCTAAATATATTGGTAATTAAATTGTTTTATTTTGAGACTTGGCATTTTTGAGACAATGATATGTTTTGCTTTAAGTTTTTATAGCTATTTTTTTTTATTGTTGTCAATAAATTAAAACTTTCGCAACTTAAGTTAGCATATTTATAAATATATCATCGGCAAATAATTAAAATTTGGTAATTATTTTTTATTAAAAACATTTTTGTTTATGTTTTTTTTAGAATATATTTTAAGTCTCCCAAGTTTTCACATTTTTTTTAAAGAGCATTTTACTTTAAAATCTTAATAGTATCGTATATATTTTATTAGCGTTTTAAACAAAAACTAATGTACTGATAATTTTGACTGATTGATAACTATTTTAAAAGAATAGCTAATCGAATAATTCAGTTTAAAATATTTGAGCAAACGATGTGGAGTATGATATTTTATTTGTTTTACCTAACCTAACTTAACCTTAACGACATAAATTATAAACACCTAAATATATTGGTACTTGAATTATTTATTTTGAGACTTGTCATTTTTGTAAGTTTTGTAAAACTATCCGACACCTAAAGATAACAGTATTCTAACCCACTAAAGCTATTTTATCGTTTAGGCATTAAAATCTGAAGTCCTACAAATCAGGAAATATGATGATATCCGTTCGAGTTCTCCTTATTTCTAGTTTAATGCTTTCAGCATTTTTCGGTAACACGCATTATTTATACATTTGTTTTTATTATAATATGAGATAACCTAGTAGCATTGATTGTCAATTGATGTTAGGTATTTATTTTTATACACATTACTGTATTATACATATTTTACAGGTACTAGTAATTGTGTAATAGTTGTGAATGAAGGAGACATTGGTCTTTATTTTGACTATGACAAAAGTAAATATTTTACAAATTAACTATTGCCCATAATGTGAAAATATTACGCAACCAAAAATGTTAAAACTTTGTACAGGTTATACTCATAAAACTTACTTATTTTTTGATCATGTATTTAAATTCTTAAATAATCATATATCTTATTTAAATTTAACATTTTCGAAATTGAGCTTCAAAAATGATTGCTAAAAAAAAAATGTAATTTTAAATCCTAAATATATTATTTGTTTTAGTGAAGCCAAATTGTGTGAAGAAAAAAGGTATAAATTGTTTTATTTTTAGTTAAATGAGCATTATGTTTAATATTTTTACAATACCAATTATTTTATTTTTATTTTACAGGAGATAATTTGAAATTTGCAGGTAATGCTTTTGTAATATCACAAGACTTTTTTTATTATATTATAAGATACTAGGTAAATTAATTAATTTTAGTTACCTGTTGTTTTTAAATGCCATTTAAAAGACTGGTAGGAGTATGATATAAACTGTTTGTAATAGCGCATTAACAATTATTAAGAAATTGAGTTAAAATAATTAAGGTTTAAGATTGTGGGAAATTGTCAATGGTGCTAAAATAACTGAGATATAACAGACAATGAATTAAAACAATTAAAAAGGAAGTGAGTAGGTGTAGTTATAGGTATGTTTTGTAGAAAAACCAAACCAACCAATTGCTTGTTGGATTTTTTTTATTAAACAACAATGATTAACAAGTGACATTGTCTACATATGTGTAGCATATATATATATCTTTGATAAATAATGATTTAATTTACCTACTAGACCATAGCACTGCGTAAAATAATATTCAGTTTTATAACATAGGTGTGTAATTTATACAAGGTTCAATATTGTTAATTAAAAACACTATAGTCGATATATATATGTTTTCTTTTTCACTTATAGTGGGTACTTGTATTGGTGTTTGGCGACCTGGGTAAGTACTTTTTTTTCAGTATTATATAACAACAATCAAAACTAGTGTCTAAACTCTTAGAGTCTAGTAACGTCCAAATAGAGATCAGAGATTATAGAGATAGGTAATACGTTAATATGGAAATGTTAAACTATAAGATGCTAACAATTCGATACCTCAAAATATGTTTTGAATTATGTACGATAAGAATATAAGAATGGCCTTAGTATGAACGTTATTATATTACAGTAATCGGGTCATAAGTAGTTTAGCTGCAGAGACAGTTGGACTGAGTAGGAGTTTACTGTCGCGTACACTAAAATATGTTTTTAAATCTCTTTGTTTGTTTCTACTTAATTAATTTTAAAATTGCATTACACCTTCAGCGATCAGAATAGTGTTAAAGAGTGTATTATTTACGAGTCCAGTTATAGGAATACATAATGACAGCTGAACAGTTTGTGACACTAACAATAAAATGATTATCACTAAATAATTGTCTTATAAGAAGTAAATAAACTACCTATTAGAATAGTAAATACAAAAGATGTAAGAATCTTTTCATGTATTTAAGGGACTCGCAGTACGAAAAATTTGAAGGTGAAGCCCAGACAGACGGAAAGTATACACCTGAAGAAGCAGTGAGAATGCTTTGGAAATACTGTGGTGGTGTTTTGCCACCTGTTGATACAACTGTAAATAATTAAAAAAAAACTTCTTTTTTAACATAATAACGTAATATTTTATTACGATTCATCGTTATATTATATGCACTTAAATTCCAATGTTCTACACACATTTGATTATTATTCATTATTGTATTTTCTGCAATCATATACAAATAAACGACAATTATTACACTATTAACAAAGTTAATATTATTTTTTGTATTATCCTAATTAAAATAATTTAATAAAACAATACATTACTGGTACATTTAATCAATTAAGTAAACATCCATCATAACAAATACAATCATACTTCAATAATGATACTAAGACTTGAAAATAATAAGCGTGCTCGTTTAAATTAAAAGTATATAGTTCAAGACTATTCAGAAGGTAGGAAATTTTGGTTGGTAATATTTTTTCAATTTAATTTAAGGTACACCATGGCATTGGGATCTCGAACGACGATCATCTAGACTAATATTTGAATTGTTGAGTCACCAATAACCTTAGCTAGGTATAGTAAACCGAAGCGATATGACCGTGGCTTTTCGTATGGGCATTCTTAAGCTGTTAATTTTTTCGAAAATACATAGCAATATTATTATTTTTTTCAGCTGCTATCTTTTACTGTCATACATTTTTTAAAATTTTTTTTAGGTATTTCTACATACGACGATACAAGTAGGTACGCCCAAAAGAAAGCATGAATTTGTCAACAATCGAATTTCTGTTACTTATTTGAAAAAAAAAAATATTTCTTATTAGTAGAACATTTATATTAAAAAACACTGCTTCTGTGTGAAATACCTATATTAATTTCTATCATTGTGTTATTTTCCTAATGCTATAAACATCATGAACATGACCATATTATTATTAATACTGGAATAAGATGCGCAAGCACGTTCATGCCGTTTAGTTTAGGCTTTCCAAATTGTTCGTGCATTGGATTTTGTGTTGATCATATATCTTATATTATTGTACCAACAGTAATAATAATATGCTATGCATCAGCTAGTATAGGAAAACTCTCATAAAACCGACTTGGACATGTTCCCACCCTAAAATTATCTTTTTTATTTGAAACGATCTAGAATCATCATTTTTATAGCGAGGTTGGAGCATATTGGGGGTGGGGAGATCACAAGTCTTCCAAAATTATTATAACTACTAAATGTCATAAATCACTATCAGATAAAACTTCAAGTACTATCATAGTCTTTTTTTAACATTATTTTTTTATTTTGCCAGTCGTATGAACATAGGCACCAATACGGGGGGCTAGGGTGGGCTTAGCCCCCCCTCCCCAAAAAAATTAAGTTATGCATACAATTTTGAAATACAAAAATATATTTACTTATATTTATATATTAAACAAATTTCCAGCCCCCCCAAGTTAAAAATTGAAATTGCGCCTATGTGTATGAAAATATCTGGAGTTCTTTTTTTTCAAAAAAAAATTAGGTTATTTAGATTTAATTTAGTTTTAGACATAAACCTTATAAATGTAAACAGGTCTTATACAATGGAATCATCGTATGTTTCATGTTTATGAAATGGGAACTCGGGAAAGTAGTATTTTGTCTTAGTCGCCTGTAGTAATAATATTTTCACAATACTACACTTACAGAGTATTTTTTAACACATGTGTGTCTAATATCGTAATGAAAAAACCAAAAAGTCAGTGTTCGAGGCACGCACTCGTAGAGTGTAAACTTTCCATGCGATGACACATTCGTGCAAGTACCGCATTAAACTATTCGCACCAGATGGTAAAAGTAAGGTAGGTATAACATTAAATCCGAATCGTGTAGAAATGTTGAATAAAGCATATTATTTACCTTATGTAATCACAATAAAACACACAAAAAAGTATTACAACTCAAGAAAATGCGACCCGTGGAAGGTCGCAAATCATTACTGTACAAAAGCCTACTAAACATTAACAGTATTAGTGCTTTTTTAAGTTTCTATGCAACAGGTTTATGAAATATAAAAAAAGTAAGTAAAATTTTAAATTGTTCGCCATAAGATAATGATATGTTTTTCTTTATGTTTTTAAAGTTAAAAAGTACACATTTGAAAATTGTACAATAATGTAAAAAAACAAACAAAAATATATTAAATCAAACTGGATCACTTTAAATTAACCATCCTATATATATATATATATATATACATATATATTAAGAGTTTTAAAGATAGGATGGAGGGAAGTGCGGCTGGAAATGCGCACAGATAAAAAAAATACTACACTCCACCTTTCCTCCTGCCCTAAACTTGAATCTTCAATAACTTAAAAATAGTTATCCGAAACTGGTTATCGACCAGTCAAAATATTAAGTACATTATTCTCAATTTGAAAAGTTAATAAAGTATATACGTTATCATTTAAGTTTCAAAAGTTGCTATCAAAAAACTTAGTTGGGAAGGAGGTAAAAACAAAAAAACAAAAAATGTAAAAAATTGAGATTACATTGTATAAATAAAATATGAAAAAAAAAATTAAATTTCTTATTAAACCCTATAAAATATTGAGTGGTTCAAGATAAGTGGATCACCCTGTATACAAATAGTAATTTTTATAGTTATATTAAATACATACGCACTTTTTAAAATGTAATAGCGTACCTACTGTATTTAAATTTAAAAATATGATTTTATAATAATAAAGCAGAGCTTAACACGATTTAAGGACATAAACACCTAAATATATTGGTAATTAAATTGTTTGTTTTGAGACTTGGCATTTTTGAGACAATGATATGTTTTTCTTAAAGTTTTTTATTGTCAATAAATTAAAATGTTCGCAACTTAAGTTAGCATATTTATAAATAAATCATCGGCAAATAATTAAAATTCGGTAATTATTTTTTATTAAAAACATTTTTGTTTATGTTTTTTTTAGAATATGTTTTAAGTCTCCCAAGTTTTCATATTTTTTTTAAAGAGCATTTTACTTTAAAATCTTAATAGTATCGTATATATTTTATTAGCGTTTTAAACAAAAACTAATTTACTGATAATTTTGACTGATTGATAACTATTTTAAACGAATAGCTAATCGAATAATTCAGTTTAAAATATTTGAGCAAACGAGGTGAAGTATGATATTTTATTTGTTTTACCTAACCTAACTTAACCTTAACGACATAAATTATAAACACCTAAATAATATATTGGTACTTGAATTATTTATTTTGAGACTTGTCATTTTTGTAAGTTTTGTAAAACTATCCGACACCTAAAGATAACGAAATTCAAACCCACTAAAGCTATTTTATCGTTTAGGCATTAAAATCTGAAGTTCTACAAGTCAGGAAATATGATGATATCCGTTCAAGTTCTCCTTATTTCTAGTTTAATGCTTTCAGCTTTTTTCGGTAACACGCATTATTTATACATTTGTTTTTATTTTAATATGAGATAACCTCATAGTAGCATTGACTGTCAATTGACGTTAGGTATTTATTTTTATACATATTACTGTATTATACATATTTTACAGGCACTAGTAATTGTGTAATAGTTGTAAATGAAGGTGACATTGGTCTTTATTTTGCCGTAAGACAATTAGGTAAATATTTTACAAATTACCTATTGTCTATGTTGTGAAAATATTTCGCAACTAAAAATGATTTAACTTTGTATAGGTTATATCTATAAATTTTTCTTGAATTTTAATTTTTTATTAAATATAATTATTTGTAATATCTTATTTAAGTTTAAATTTTTTGAAATTAAGTTACAAAAAATATTGCTCAAAATACCTATAATTTTAAATCTTAATGATTTTATTTGTTTTAGAACATAATTGTGTGAAGAGAATTGGTAAAAATTTGTTTTACTTTTAGTTAAATGCGTATTGTATTTACTATTTTTACAATAACTGTTAATTTTATTTTACAGGAAATAATTTGGATCATCTTGCGGGTATGTTTTTTTAAATATTACAAGGCTTTTTTTATTTCATAAGATACTAGTTAAGGTAATTTATTTTAAATTCCATTTAAAGACTGGTAGGAGTAGGTATGACATAAATTGTTTGGTAATAGCGTATTAATAATAAAGAAATTGAGTTAAAACAATTAAGGTTTAGGATTTTATTTTTAAAAATGGTTGACAGTTGAACATCTGTGTAGCTTGTATATTAATTTGGTAAAATCACTAACTTACCATACCAATACAAAGATAAAGTAATATTGAGTTTAAAACATTGGTGTATAATTTATATTATGTATAAAATCAATATTGTTAATTATAAACATTACAGTCGACATATATTTTCTTATTTCTCATAGTGGGCACATTGATTGAGGTTATGCGAACAGAGTAAGTACTTATTTTTTAAAAATATTATATGACAATAGTCAAAACTTGTGTCTAGTGTAGGCTTAACATCGTCCAAAAAGAGATCATAGGTAGTACGTTAATATGAAAATATCAAGCTATAAGATGCCATTACTTTGAAAACTCAAAATATGTTCTAAGTAGTTTAGCTGGAAAATCAGTTGTACTGAGTAGCCGTGTACACTACAATATGTTTTAAAATCTCTTTGTTTATTTCTACTTACCTAATTTTAATATTGCATCACACCTTTCCGGTCAGAACAGTGTTAAAGAGTTCAGTTTATTTACGAGTACAGTTGTATAAATAAAATGTCAGCCAAACATTTTGTGACACTAAAATGATTATTATTAAATAATTATAAATAAATTGAAAATTAAGTACAAAATATCTAAGAATTTTTACACATTTTATTCTAGTCATCCGAGTTACGGACAATTTGAAGGTAGACATCTGGGAGACGGAAAGTATGATCCTGACGTCTGTCAAGAAATACGTGGTATTATTACTAGGATTATACCGGATTTATTGAAACCAATTTTTATAAATATAATAAAGTAATATTGTTTTACAATTCATTACTATATGATATGCACTTCAACTCCCATATTCTACACGCATTTAATTACTATTAATTATTGTGTTTTATGCAATCAGATACTAATAAACGACAATTATTATACTATCATCAAAGATTATATTATTTTTATATTATATAATAAACCCATGCGTTACTTCTACATTGAATCATTTAAGTAAACTTACACAATAATTAATACAATCTTATTTAAATTTAGATAAAACTTTAAATGCACTAATTTGCGTTAAAAGTATATTGTTAAGTAACGACAGGTACTAGCCTTGCCCAGTATTTTTATTGCTAATAATATGTCAGGCGAAAAGCCATCGTTCCAAAGTTTTTACATTATGGGGATTAAAAAAGCGGACGAGTTTTAAGGGGTTTTATATAGGCAATAATTAAACACAAAAAATATATAAATTTTAGAAGAAATAACTGAACTTTATTAAGAATAAAATAATTGTCATAACAATTTCGACCATGTCAATTTTATTTCAGGTCAAGCTTCAGGGTATTATATTTGCGTTAAGTATAGAATTTGTTCTATTAGTTAAAACCATTTTGGTGACACAAGAAACCAATTTAGATTTAATAGCCTGAAAAATTATATCTACTTAGAATGATCAAATTTAAATTCTGTAAACATGTTTGATCTCATCGTCCATTTTTTCCAGCTTGTTTTTCAATCATTTTTTTTAAAATTTTATTTATTATACCATGTTACAAAAAAATAATATTATATTTAATACACGATAATAAGAAGAATTGACACTAATCTATTTCCTTTGTTGACGGCCAAACGACATTTAAAATTGGCCAAATAAAGTAAATTCATTTGGCGGGATATATGCCGTGTGTATTGTTTAACTATACGTGATAAATAAAAATAAAAACAACGATTTTTAATATATAGTTTATTATGTAAAAATAAACAATGGAGCTTAAATCAAACAAAACAAATGAATTCAAATTTACAAATCATCAATACTTTTGTTTTATAAATACCATTGCGTCTCTTTAATGAATATATTGATGACCGCTTGTAGTTTTTCGTCGTTATCTGCATATTTTAAAGTTTTTAGTACCTTCTTGTACTCCCTCTTCTTTAATTTTTCTTTTGTTTTAACAAATAAAGCAAGAAGTGCTTCATAAACTTTGACTTCTAAAGTTTTTTTATCTACTACAAGAAGAAGCAGGCGCCTGGCCTCGGTAGCCCGTGCAATAAACTGTTTGTCTACTAGAAATTCCACATCTGTATACAAACAATGTTTCAGGTTTGGTCTCGTCATTGTATTAAACTAATAAATATCAGTTAGTTAACATATTGTAATAAATGTTGGCGTAAATCGGAAAACAACCATTGAACAACCAAAAATTAATTAAACAAATTGTTTGCCAAAGATGTACTTAAGGGGATTGCATGCGATTTATTTTTAGGGAGTGTTATATAGGCAATGTTTAAGAAAAAAAAAAGGTTTTAATAAATTTCTACCATGTCAATTAATTTATCGGTAAATTTGTATAAGCTACAAGGTATTATTTTTAATTAAAAATATTGTTTCTATGAGTAAAAGCAATTTTGATTTTAGACCAAAAAGCCAGCCAAAATGTCCACTACATATGTTGGTCCAATTTCAATTCTTGTGAATAGATAAATATATACGTGGTCATTTAAGTATTATAAATTGATAGAGCTATAGCAAATACTCAAAAAGATAAAAATTTTAATATTGTCTCATATAGTAATATAGTATAATCAAAAATATATTAAAAAGAGAAACATTACAAATTTGCGATTCTTTTAAGAGTAAACAGGTGTAGGGCGTTAAAAGAATTACCAATTAAAAGTATAACATTTTAACATTGACAGCTCTTTGTAACGGAAATTTCCACAAAGTTACAGACATTTAAAAGTGAGTTTTGGAAATTGATAAAATGAACAAATGTATTTTTCAATGGGAGCATGCTCTCTCGGTTAGTATTTTCAAAGTATAGCTAAGAATTAAAAAAATATAAGTTTTCTATAAAAACTCAATAAAAGAACAGTATTCTCTTAAGTATTGAAATTGGATCATTTTAAAACCCTTTCGCATAAATTGTTATAGAAAAAAAAATATTATTTTAATACTCACAGATACTTAAAAAAATATTATCAACTTTATTATATAATGGTTTTGTTAGTGATCCCCAACCATCAGCATTATCTATAACGCTAGTTACAGTTTTAGACAATACCTTTGAATTTCCGTTAGTCAAAACCTGAAAGACCCACATATCAGTATTAGTATTATCACTAGTATCATAGAGTTCTGGTCAACTGTCGGCAAATACCAAATGAAGGGCTGCATGGAAAAAAGATCAATGTAAATTTTTCAACATTCTGAGAAAATCATGTTTTTAATTTCAAAACTTAATACATTTTGCCTGTTTGTCTAAACTTCCGGCGGTCGTTACTCTCGACTAATTTGTTTTTTTCTCTAGTTCGAGCGCATAAAAATTACAATACATCAATACAAATAATTTGATACCAAAATCTTATTTTCAAAAAAAATTTACATAGATCTTTTTCCCCCGCAGCCCTTCAAATGTATTGATGTTCACTAGTCTTGCTGTTTTACTTAAGACAGGTCAAAGAAATTGTATTATGAAATTAAAGAGGCTCCGGAAATTATTAGTGCTTGACCTAAACAAGTAAAAACTAGTGTTTATGTATTTACATTTTTTATATAGTTTCTTATAGATATGGGCAAGATATTTGGTCTGTTTGATGTCTCGCCAACCCATGATGTCTCGCGAACACATGATGTCTCGGGCAAATAATTCATTGATATCTGAAAGACATACACTAATATTAGTAGTGTCATACACTTCATATAACAGTGATATTATAGATATCACAAAAGGGCGCGAGCATGTGCGGTTGTTCAACACAATATCATCTAAATCTATTGGTATAGACAATGAATATGTAGGTTAGGTTAGGTTAATACCAATATTGGTTCAAGCGGCCAATACTATATGCTAAAAATATTACTAAAAAAAATTAAAACTATACATTTTCTTATTCCAAACATTTACGAAAAAAATAATACTTAGCGGTATTTATAATAGAATATTGAGAGGAAATGATAAAAAAAAACATTACTAATAAATTAGTTGAAATTTAATCCAAAATCTATATTTACTTACCATAAGAACGAACAAATACACTGCACATAGCACAACATTTGGGTTGGATTTCATTGTAAATACCTAAAACAATAAAAATCTAATTTTTTTTATAAACTGTAACCTTGGAACAAAAAAAAATGTAAAAACAGTTAAGTGCAAATAAAAACACCGTCGCCTGATAGGAAAAAAAATATTACTAAAATTATGCTGTTATTAATACTGTTTTCGTATTTCTTATATATATATTTTATAATTTTTATTTTACTTTAAAAATTTGGATATTTTATAAAATTAAAAATGGTCGAAAAAGTTTGAACGTTAAAATGTAAACATTATCATATTTTAATAATTTTTTGAGGAAAAAAATATATAAATATGTTTCAGGTGTAATGTATATAATAATGTTGTAATGGTTTTATGTTGGCAATTAGAAAAAAATATTTTTAAAGCTAGAGAAAACCATTTATATATACTATTGTCTTACGAATAATAATTTTAAATATCGCTTGCTTTTTTATGTTTGTTAAACTTAACGCAAAGAACCTAAAAAACACACTAATACTGTTAGTGGTGCTCAGGTTGCCTTTTGGTACCTAGTTAGATATACGACTCTACGCATTCGTCATATTTTCTTAGATTGCCTGTAATACTATGCGTTTTTGTGTTTGTTGAAGAAAAATATGCTTTATTCAATATACTATGGCGATAACAAACTTCTAGACCAATCGGATTCAATTGTTCACGCCCTACTTTCCGCCACTTTGTCCGATCGTTGTAATGCGGTATTTACAAGAATGTAACATACCTAAAATCATATGAAGGGTACAGCGAAAAACAGGCATGTTAATAGAACATTTTTTTAAATCATTTTTTTGCTAAAGGCACTTCTCTGGTTTTTATTTCCCCTGTACCCTTCGTGTACTCATATCGCGCTGGCTGTGAAGCAACAACTCTGTAAGGAGTATAGTATAGTTGGAAAAAACATATTTTGAAACAATTTATTTTGCGGTACATGATATACAAATGCATCCCTACTATTTATTTTAAAAGTAGAATTCTTATTATATGTTCTACACACCTTAAGACATAAAACTAAATCGTATTTAATGACCCTTGTCATTTTAATCAGTTTTTATGTACTCAACAAACATTTTTCATTCTAGTTAGAATCTATGTATTAAAAAAAAAAAAAACAACGATACATTTTGTATCTTCTTGACAAAAGACAAATGACTGTGAACAACGCAACATTTAAGTTTTAACCTTGAGGAACTGTTATACTTTACAAATACAGTTATTATACAAATCAAGTTGTTTTTTGGACACATCTTGTTTTATCTTTTGATTTCTACATTTTTCAAACTACGTATGTCTTATATTATAGATAACACATTTTTTTTATTATCTCTGAATTATTATTATCTGAATAATTTAACTCATCTTCATTCTTTAATTTGTTTTAATTAAGAAAATATTATCACTATACATGTTCTTTTCTATAAAATCAAATGTAATAATTATACATTTTTACATTGTCCCAATTTAATACAATTATTATGCATCTAAACGTACAAAGTAGTTTTTCGCCATAGTTTAAACATTTGAATAAACAAACTACAAAACAAAATGAGTTTAAGAAAAACAACTGGCTTTCGATAAACAACAAACCATAACAAAATATCGTATGGTATTTTCGCGTGATAGAACACAATAATAAAGCTTTATGAAAATTGTAGAAAACAACTTAATAAAATATAAAAAAATGTATCGATGGCTTATGTGTTACCCTTTCCTCTTATTTTCATTATTTTTATTTCTAGCGATGCCATAAAAAAAAATGGTTAAGTTATTTTGATAAAATTTAACCATTTAAGTTTTATATTAAAAGTCTGATAACATTGTAGGGAGCTTCAACTTTTAAATTTACTAAGTGAACTTGCACATTTCTATAATAAGTATCGGATAGGAACATGAAAAAAAGCGATTAATGATTAATAAATATTATAGAGTTCTAATGTTGAAATGCTGTTAATGTGACATAAACTGATAATATTTTAATAAACAAAATTCAATTAACTGTAGGTAAAAATAAAATGTCTTATAAATTATAAAAAAAATTATGTTTTACACTTCCCCACTTCAGTAGGTTTTTTTAAAATTATATAAAAGATATTTTTTTTGTAATAATTATCAGTGAATGAGATATTTATCATATTGATTTTTGCAACGCTCACATTAGCGATAGTGTTTTTTAAATAAGTATATGTATGAAACATGAAAATATGAGTCATAGCTAATGCACACAAAATATGTACCTTTTGTACATCGTCCCAGTGTGGATAAGTAATTTTATTACATTTTTGTAATATTACAATTTTTAAAAATAATTATTAGTTTGTGATAATGTAAAATTAGATAACCTAGAACCAACATCTTTATCATACATACGGTCTGTAACATATGTATTACTATTGTCAAAACTGGAAACCCCCCAAAAAAAGTATTCATCATTGGCAATAGATTCTATTGGTATAACAGAAGCCCAGACGTGACACACGGGTTTATTTCACCTATAATTTAATCAATCGGTGTAGTCAGGATTTTGTTTAATGGGAGGGCTGATCTTTGATTTACCCAGAATGCACACTTATATAATATACAGGGTAATCAACGTATCGTGAAACATTCAATATCTCACTGGGTATAATTAATAATTGACTTTTCTTTCCATAATGTTTTAATACAATGTGATGTCAGTTTCTCACTATTTTTTTTTTTGTTTTTACTTCGCTCCCAACTTACTTTAAACTAAGCGATATTATATATTTGGCCAGACAGTAATTTTTAATCACACATAATTAATTATAACAAGAATTACATTATAACAGAAAATTAAATTTTTTGGTCCTATATTTCCCTGTCTGTAATTATGACTTGTGTGCCAACTGGCAAGTTGTTTTTACATTATCTACGTTAGTATTGAGTATATTTTATTAGTAGTTCAATTTTTTATCAGACTATCACAACCTTTATTAATACAGAATTTAAAAAAAAACCGGCCTCTCGCACTTTAGTACATCTTTGGCAAACATTCTCTTGAAAATATATTTGATATTCGTATAATAATATTATCATGCGAGTATTAAGATGTGTTTTTTTTACAGATGTACTATAATACACAGGTTTTTCTATTCGCATAAAGTTCACAGCGATGACATATCCTAAATTTTTGTTTATCATAGCATATTTTCCAAAACATGTTTCTGCCTTAGTAATGCCGTTAGCACATATGGATACACAAATGATATACAAAATCGTTTTTAGTAAAACAACAATAATTCGTATAAACAGCACCGTCATGACCTAAATTCTTATTTTTTGGCTGTCAAAATGAACTTGCGAACGCATATTTTTGTATCTAATAGTATAATAATATATAATGTTACAAATTAATAAAAAAAAAAAACAGCCATTTTTCAGCCAAGTCTGCAACCACGATAGAACATTTTCATGTCTCGTTGAAGTACCGAATAAATTTAAACTAGTTGTGGAATTATAATTAAAAAAAAAAAAATCACATGGAGCTTCCAATTACAGCATAAGGCCAAGGAGATAAAAAAATTCTGTATAATCAAGTTTCTGGCTAAAATTGTATTGTTTATCATCTGGCCAAAATTAACTTAACATAGAGAATTAAACTATTTTGAATTTATTATTTAGTTCTAATTTGAACGTTGAACATACAACATATCTCTTATCTCTTATCTTCTATATCTTACTCCTATCCCCTACCCACTATCTCCCGTCCCTATCACTCACTCCATCCCCTACCCCCTATCTCCCACCCTATTACTCACCCCTATCCCCTACCCCTATCTTCCACCGCTATCACTTACCCCCTATCACTCACCTCTATCTCTTATCTCATATCAGATAACAGCGTAACGCTTTGTTTGGTAACACTTTTTGACATTTTCATGTCTTAGCTCTGGCACATAACCGAAAAAAGCGTTATCAAAAAAGCGTAACGAAAAAAGAAAATGGGTTAAAGATGAAACTGGGGTGGGAATGGGGTTGGGGTTGGTGGTGGGAATTAGCTGTGGCGCATAACCGAAAAAAAGCGTAACGAAAAGTGTGTTATCTGATAACAGATAAGAGATATGTTGTACGTTCAACGTTCAAATTAGAACGAAATAATAAATTCAAAATAGCTTAATTCTTTATGTTAAGTTACTTTTGGCCAGATAATAAACACTACAATTTTAGCCAGAAACTTGATTGTACATAATTTTTTAATCTCCTTGGCTTATGCTGTAACTGGAAGCTCCATGTAATATATTTTTTTAAAAATTATAATTCCACAACTAATCTAAATTTATTCGGCACTTCATCGAGACATGAAAATGCTCTTTCGTGGTTGCAGACTCGGCTGAAAAACTTCGGTTATTTTTCGGTTATGTGCCTGAGCTAAGACATGAAAATGTCAACAAAAAACAAATTGATAAAACTACAGCCCTTTAGTTACACTTCTTAATTTATAATCGGGGTTAATCTAACAAAATCTAGGTACAGTGTACTTTTATTTTCTGGGTCCTATATTTCCCTGTCTGTAATTATGACTTGTGTTAAACAAAGGTCTAAAAAGAAACATACTACAATTGGATCGGTCATTTCAAAAACGACATACGTCACTGATTTTTCAAAAATGACTTTGTCAAATTGCGTTCAATTTAATCATCAACGTAACGTTGTTAAATGTGTTTCTATTTTTTAATTAGCAATTCATAATTTCAAAGTTTTTATCACCCAAATGCTCTTTTTAAATAAACGAATAGTTAGTAAAAATGCCTATAGCGTTACAATTTTAGTAGTCAATTTATACTTTAGTAATTAAAAATTATTAGAAATAGTTTTATTATTAATTTTATATTAAATATGACTTGTATTTTTTATTGACATTTTGATCCTTTCTAAAAATAATAATAAAGCCATACTTAGGTAGACTGTTATTGATATTTTTTCTAAACTGCGAGACGGAACGTGAAAATTAAAATATTTGAATTAAACAATTATAAATTATTAACCTTTGCAAGGGTTTTTTTCCCAGCTTGTTTAGCTTGTTACATAGAATATTATTATATGTTAAATACAAGATAAGAAGAAGAATTGATACTAATATATTTGCTTTATTGACGGCGGGACGATATTTAAATTTGACATTAAATCTTCAATAGATAATAAAGTATGTTTATTTTGGACAAATAAAGTAAATTCCATAGGCGGGAAATATGGCGTGTGTATTGTTTAACTATACGTGTCAAATTAAAATATAAACAACAATTTTTAATATATAGTTTATTATGTAAAAATAAACAATAAAGCTTCAATAAAACAAAACAAATGTATTGTAATTTACAAGTCATCAATACTTTTGTTTTATCCATAATATTTCACGTCTGTTATGAACTTTAGTATGAACAACATTATTTTTCTGTTGAGCTCCCCGTATAGGTAAGGTCTAACTCCATCTCTCGTATACTCTAACTCTTCAGGTACAAATGTCTCCATAACAGGCTCCTTCCATAATTTTGCTTTCGTTATCTCGAATAAATCATGTTGTGTTTTTTTTAAAATAACAAATTCTGGATTTTCGTCTTTTAATGCAAGAAGAATATTATTCCTGGCATCGATAAGCCGTGCCATAAACTCTGTGTCTAGTTGTATATTCGTATCTGTTTACAAATAATATTTCAAATTTGGTCTCGTCATTGTATTAAACTAATAAATATTAGTTAGGTAACATATTGTAATGCTATGTGTTGGCATAATTCGGGCAACAACCATTGGCGGAAATAGGACTCTACGATAACATTCGAATATAAAAAATGTCTGCAAAGATGTACTTAAGGTGGTCTATAAAAAGTCGATTTTCGAATTTCGAACCTCGACACCCTCTAAAAAGTGTTTGAGTATAATAAAATTAAGTTAAAAAAAAAATGAAAAATGTTAATTTTATCCCGTGCCCCACAAGGGTTGACGTTGAAATGGGATTTAACATAGGATTGCGACACATCCATACATCCATTTGCACAAATCAATGTACCTATAACTTTTTTCCTACTTCTTAGTTTGATTTGGAAATTTGATGAATTAAGGTTTTCAATGAAGGTTTGGTTGGATTAGCAAATAAAATTGGAAATAATATTTCGGATAACGAAATTGTTTAAATAACAAAATTAAAATCCTCTTTTATTTAAACATTTTTCTTCAATAACGGGTTATTTGAAACAGAATAATAAATTGAATTTTTAGGTAATCAAATTATTTTAAATAGCTTATAATTTTAAACTGTAATTAAAGTAAATTTACTTCAATTACGATTATAGTTAAGTAGTTATAATAATAATTTAAAAACCGTATTTAATGTTTTTCACCAATTTTTTAGTAAACACACAATTTTATTTATTTTATGAAAATTTAACAAAATATAGACGTTTTTTGGCTAGTTTTCAAAGAAAAGGGAACACAAGGAGATTGGATTGTTTTACGTTTTATATTAAAGAATTTAATTTTTACTTCTGGAGGAACGAAAAATCTAGAGGACGGCACAATCGCCGGGTAATGCCCATATGTTAGGGGTGGCAGATGACGTTATGTGAAGATAACAGTACTGTCAAAAATATTTGATTTGCTAGTATTGTGATTTAAACTTATTACATCACTGTTATCTTTATTTTGAACATCATGTTAATGGCACTTAAATGAGTATTAATTTTTGTACATTGTCACTAAAAAATGTAATACAATGAACTCAAATATTAGGCGTCTAAGCCAAACGACATCCCTCAGGTACCCCAACAAAAACCGAACAGTGAAAAAAGGGCAAGTTCCAGACCCCCCCCCCCCAAAAAAAAATGTCAGCCTATCAAAGTAGTGCTATCTACATTGTGGCCAAGTCTGTTATTTCTTTAGTTCATAACCACACTTCACTTCACACTCTCCTAAAAATACCCAATAAAAATACAGTATTCTCTAGAGTATGGAAATTGGATAATTTTAACACCATTTTTTTCGCTTTGCTTATTAGTTATTAGAGAAAAATAATTTTTTTAATACTCACAGAAACTTAAAATATTCTCATCTGTTATACCACCTAGTACTTTCAAAAAATCAGGTTGTTTTACAAGATCTTTTACAGCTTGGGGCAATTCTTTTGGATTTCCGATAGACAAAAGCTGAAAAACCGACATATTAGTATTAGTATTATTACTACTATCACAGAGTTCTTGTCGACTGTCGTCAAACACCCAATGTATAAATGTACACTAGTTTTGCAGTTTCAGTTAAGATAGGCCAAAGAAAATGTATTATGAAATTAAAGAGGCTCCAGAAATCATTAGTGATTGACCTATATAAGTACAAACTAGTTTTTATGTATTTACATTTAATATATAGTTTCTTATAGGTATGGGCAAGATGTTTGGTCTATTTGATGTCTCGCCAACACATGATGTCTCTGATGTCCCTGATGTCTCGCCACCGCTTGGTTCCATGGGCGAACTATTCAAAGAAACCTAAAAGACATAATATATAAGTACTAACTAGTTTTTATATATATTTACATCTATTATATAGCTATATATAATTATATATAGTTTCTTATAGCTACGGGCAAGGAGTCTGATGTCTCTGATGTCCCTGATGTCTCGCCATCATCTGGTCCTCTGGGCGAACTCTTCAATAAAACCTGAAAAACATACACTTTACCTAAAACTATTGATACAGGTTACGAATATTATGTAGGTTAGGTTAGGTTAATACCAATATTGGTACAAGTTTTGGCTATTACTCTATGATGTTAATCAACAATTCTTATAGAAGTTATCCACTTATCACGTATTAAATAAATGGAAACTTCAAAAATAATTAATTTTTAATTTTAATATTTTCAAATATTCGCTGCCAATATTATACTATATGTTAGTAATTAACTTATAGTGGCTCTAGGAGTTAGTGATTGTCCAATATTATAGGGAACTAATAAGCTTGTGTGCTACAAGATTGATATCATACATTTATGATTGATGATTGATTCAATGCAGTTATTTTCAAATGTTTTATATAATCCATAAAAAAAGTAAAATGCTATTAATATTTTTAAAATATTATAAAATTAATATAGAGATTAAACTATTGAAGTTATTACTAAAAAATAAAAAACTAATATAAACTATACAATTTTCTATTCCTACAATTTACGAAAAAAATAATACTTAGTGGTTAGGTATAAGAATATTGAGAGGAAAGGATCAAAAAATAATAATGATATAGTTAAAATTTAGTACAACTATATTTACTTACAAAAAGGCCAAACAAATACACTGCGAATAGCGCAACGCTCATGTTGGATTTCATTGTAAATGCCTAAAACAATAAAAATGTCATAGTTTTACATATATAATAATCTTAAATACTAATAAACCTAACCAAAATGAAGTTAAACATTTAAATACTTTAAAAAATTAAAAACGGTAAAGTTTGATTGTTAAATTGTAAACGTTACAAAACTTTAATTATTTTTCGAGGAAAACAAAATAAATATAAATATATTTAATGTTCGCATTAAGAAAAAAAAATTTTAAATGTAAAGTAAAACATATAAAATATACATTGTCTTACGAAAAATAATTTCAAATATCGCTTACTTTTTTACGTTTGATAAACTTAACGCAAAGAAACTAAAAAAACACACTAATACTGTTAGCGGTGCTCGGGTTGCCTTTTGTTTGTTAGAGTTGCGACTCTTTGCATACGTCATATTTATTTAGATTGCCTGTAATACTAGGGCGTTTTTGTGTTGACTTATTAGTATGCTTTATTTAAGATATTATGGCGATAACAAACTTCTAGACTAATCGGGTTCAATTGTTCACGCCCTAATTTCCGCCACATTGTCCGGTTGGTGTACCTAATGCGGTACTTAGAAGAATGTGACACACCTAAATAAGAAGGGTACAGAGAAAAACAGGCATGTCTTTTTGATTAAAAACAATATTAGGACAATTTTTAAAATAATTTTTTTTAACATGTTTTTCTTAGATATGTAACTTATTAATTAATATATTGTAAAAACAAGATTATGTTGAAGCAATTAAAATATAATAAATAAAAAAAAAAAAATCTTAGATTACCAAAAAAAGGGACTTTACTGGTATTTTCCCTGTACCCTTTATGTACTCATATCAAGCCCACTGCGTAGGGAATAATTCCGTTAAGAGTATAAACTATAGTTGCAAAAAAACATAGTTTTAAACAATTTATTTTGCGATACATGACATACAAATGCATCCCTACTATTTATTTTAATTGTAAAATTCTTATTATATGTTTTTTCACACCTTAAGGCTATATCGTATTTAATGATCCTTAATAGTTTAATCAGTTTTTATGTATTCAACAAACTTTTTTCATTCTAGTTTGAATCAATGTATTTGTAAAAAAAAAAATGATACATTCTGTATCTTCTTGACTTAAGACAAATGACTGTGAACAACGCAAATTTTTATGTTTTAACCTTGGGAGAACTGTAATACTTTACACAGTTTTTATAGAAATCAAGTTTCTTTTTAGGCATATCTTGTATTATAATTTGATTTCTATATTTTTCCTATTTTATTGTTTAAACATTTGAATTTGATGGCATGGTAGTATACCATATTGTTACAGATATTGTAGCAAATAATAATTATAAATGTTTACATTGGGACAATTTAATATAATAATTATGTATTTTAACGTACAAAATAGTTATTTGCCATAGTTATTGTAACATAGTTGAAACATTTGAATAAACAAACGACATAACAAAATTAATTTAAGAAAAACAATTTGTTTTCGATAAAAAACAAACCATAACAAAATATCATAAAACATTAAATTGTTATCATTATAACATAAAAGGGTCTTGCATGTATATGCATATGAGTTATCAACTTCCTAATATACCTATAAAATAAATTTAATAAATGTATTGTTAAAATTTTTAGTAACTAATAAGATTGTAGTAGTGAATACAAACACATAAAACTATAAATAGCTATTGACTATATTTAATTAAAATTTATAAGTATTTTGTTTATGAATGGATATCTTACATTCCAATTTTCATTTCTTTAAAATTGCGATCATACTATTAGATTCCACCTAAAGCATAAATCGCATAACATTCGTTTTAAATGAATATTTACCCCTTCCCCTTTTTTATTATTTATATTTCTAGTGATGCCTAATAAAAAAAAAAATTATTATTAGTTTATAAAACCATATTTATGTTTTAAATTATAAGTCTGACAACATAACACATTCGGGAGAGCTTCAGGTTTAACTTTTAAATTTAATAAGTGAACTTGCAAACATTTTTAAGATGATTATCGGATAGGAACTTGAAAAAAAAGTGATTAATTATTATCAATTTTATAAATCTCTAATGTTGTAATGCTGTTAATGGGGGCATGGTAAGAACCTGCTCGTGGCGCCCCTGCATAGTTGTCTGACCTAACCTCTAGATCAGATTAACGAACTAATCTTACCAACACCGGTGCGAATTATGCCAATACCACTAAAACGGTCCTTTTCAGGACCAACCCCTGCTCTAACTATACTTTCACAAAATATTGAGGGTTTTTCAACATATAAAGGAGAGCTTCTAGCTATCCTTTGTGCTGAGAATGACTGCGATATACTTTGTGTACAGGAAACGCACCGGGACAGGGCCAGCTCACGGCCAAAAATACCGGGAATGATATTAATCAAAGAAATACCTAGTGAAACATACGGAAGTGCGGTCTTTTCAAAACCTGGATTGATCATAGAAAGTGCAGAACACTGTAATAAAGGAAATATCGAAATAATTACAATAGAGGTTAAAGGCTGTACGGTCACTTCAATATACAAACCGCCAAATATAGACTTTGCTTTTGAAAAACCAACGAATTTCGATAATAGCCCTATAAAAATAGTGATTGGGGATTTCAACAGCCACAGCTGCAGTTGGGGATACGTAGAAACGGACCTTAACGGCGAAAAAGTTGAAGAATGGGCTGAAGCTGAGCTTCTGTCATTAGTGCACGACCCAAAACTGCCTAAATCATTCAATAGCGCGAGATGGAAAAAAGGATATAACCCGGATTTAATCTTTGTGAGTAACAATATTTATCAACAATGCCTCAAGAATGTGTGTAACCCAATACCAAAAACCCAACATAGAGCTCTCAAACTTCAAATAACCGAAGTAATCCGAGGTCAAATCATACCATTCAAGAGAAGGTTTAACTACAAAAAAGCGGATTGGGAGCAATATGGGCTAGCTATCGATAGAGAAATCCAGAATCTTGAACCCAATTTAGAAAACTATGAATCTTTCGTAAAGAAAGTGAACAAAATATCTAGACAATACATCCCAAGGGGTTGCAGACAAAATTACATTCCCGGCTTAAATAGAGAAAGCTGTAAGGCAAAAGCAAAATATGAAGAACTATTTAAACAGAACCCCTTTAGTGAAGAGACGATTATAGAGGGTGAAAAGCTAACCCAACTATTACGTGCCGAGAAAAATAGGAAGTGGCATGAAACAATAGAAAACATTGACATGACAAAAAACAGTAAAAAAGCTTGGGGACTTATAAAGAAATTAAACGGAGATCAGACGGTACAAACGTCCTGCATAAATGTTACAGCAAATCAAGTAGCCTCAGAATTACTTCGTAATGGGAAACCAAATACTAAAATCAAAAAAAGGAAGATCAAGAGGAATAAAGATATAGAATGTCGTAACTTCCAAGATGATTTTACGACAGAGGAGCTAAGTAACAGTTTACGAGAAATGAAGAACGGAAAAGCGGCAGGATTTGACGAAATCACTACAGAACAAATTAAACATTTCGGAATCGAAACTAGAAATTGGCTTCTCAAACTACTAAATGGTTGCCTACGAAATAAATCTGTACCAAAAATGTGGAGGAAGGCTAAAGTAGTGGCACTGCCTAAACCGGGCAAAGATTTAAGCAATCCGAAAAGCTATAGACCTATATCTCTATTATGCCACACTTACAAAATTTACGAAAAAATGATCCTAAATCGTATCAAAACGCAGATCGACCAACAAATAATTCCAGAACAAGCCGGCTTTAGACCCGGAAAAACGTGCACGGGCCAAATCTTAAACCTTTGCCAACACATAGAAGACGGCTTTGAAAATAAAAAAATTACAGGTGCTGTTTTTGTTGACCTTACGGCAGCATATGACACGGTCAATCATAATGTTCTACTACAAAAAATATATTATCACACAAAGGATTGGGATTTGGTCCAAATAGTCGCGTCTCTTCTACACAATCGTCGTTTTACGGTGACACTGAACAATAAATGGAGTAGGTGGAGGAAACAAAGAAATGGCCTACCACAGGGTAGTGTTCTGGCTCCGACATTATTTAATCTATATACCAATGACCAACCTATACCTGAAGACACAAGACACTTCCTATATGCGGATGATTTGGCAATTACAGCCCAGGATATATCTTTTGAAAAAGTGCAAGATAAATTAACGAGAACCCTAGAATCCATGAACGTTTATTACACTAATAACCAGCTAAAACCAAATCCAAATAAGACACAAGTATGCTGTTTCCATTTAAGAAACAGAGATGCTAAGAAACGAATAGACATAAAATGGCTCGGCGATACACTACCCTATACTGACTACCCAGTCTATCTTGGAGTAACATTAGACAGGACACTAACGTTTAAGGAACATTGTATTAAAACGAAAATGAAAATACAGACCAGAAACAACCTACTGAAAAAACTGTCGGGTACTCAATGGGGAGCACGACCACACACAATGAGAACAACGGGACTGGCATTATGTTTTTCAGCGGGGGAATACGCGTGCCCAGTGTGGAGTAGGTCGAAACATGTTAAACACGTGGACGTTGCACTAAATGATACCCGCCGAGCTATAACGGGGTGCCTCCGACCAACACCGATAAACAAAATATATTGTCTGTCAGGAATCGCCCCACCTAGAATTAGAAGGAGTGTAACTACGGATCTAGAAAGAGCAAAACAGCTAAAAGATGATAGACACCCCATGTTTAAGTATGAAGCTATAAGAACAAGACTTAAATCCCGACAAAGCTTTATTAATTCGTCAATTGAACTAAAAGACCCCCCAGACCAGGCTAGACTACTAAGATGGAGAGCTGAAGCGGAATTAGATGACCCCATCCAACCTAACCAGCAACTACCACCTGGTAAAGACCTACAGTGGAACCTATGGAAAACCATCAATAGATTGAGAACTGGAGTCGCAAGAACAAGATCAAACATGGTGAAATGGGGTCTTAATAATAAGGAAGACGACAAGTGTGAATGCGGCGAACGACAAACAGATGAACACTTACTCATGTGTACCATGAATCCAACACAGTGTGGCAAGGACGACTTAGTACAAGTAAACAAGAATGCCATAGACGTAGCTACACATTGGCTGCAATATAAGATTTGACAAAGTTACCGACCATTAATATTATTTATTATTTATTTACTTATTTGTTTATTGATTTATATATATGTTACCTATTTTATAACTAACTGTGATTATTGGCAATTTTAACTGGACACGAGAAGAAGAAGATGCTGTTAATGTGTCATAACCTAATAATATTTTAATAAACAAAATGTAATTAACTGTAGGTAAAAATAAAATAAATAAAAATAAAAGATATTTTTTTGGCAATAATTATCCGTGAATCATTTATTTACCATATTGATTTTTGCAACGCTCACATTAGCGATAGTGTTTTTTAAATAAGTATATGTACGAAACATGAAAATATGAGTCATAGCTAATGCACACAAAATATGTACCTTTTGTACATCGTCCCAGTGTGGATAAGTAATTTTATTACATATTTGTAATATTACAATTTTTAAAAATAATTATTAGTTTGTGATAATGTAAAATTAGACGACGTAGAACCAACATATTTATCATACAACAGTCTGTAACATATTCTCACGGGGAGAAATAGGAGCAGCGATGGCACGCGTAAAGGGCAGAAGGAAGGCCCTGGGACCAGACTGTATCAGCAATGCGATCCTGGTGTCGGTCTACAAGGCAGACCCCGACTTTGTAGCCGACACGCTCAACGCCTGCCTCAAAGCAGGAAGCTTCCCCACCCGTTGGAAGCAGGCCCGAGTGGTGCTGCTTCGTAAGGGCCAAAAGCCGGCCGGTGAGCCATCATCGTACCGCCCTTTGTGTCTCCTGAACGACGTGGGGAAGTTGATGGAGCTCTTACTAGTTCGTCGACTGGAGAAACACCTCGAGGAGAGAGGTGGACTCTCCGACCGGCAGTTCGGCTTTCGGAAGGGAAGATCGACGGACGACGCAGTGCGTTTGCTCCGGGATGACAGCGATAAACGCGCGCAAAGTATGTGTGGCTGTCAGCTTGGACGTGAAGAACGCGTTTAATTCGATCGGCTGGCGCCACATCATGCGGGCCCTACAGGAATGGGAAGTGCCGCTGTACCTGCAGCGCATCTTCCGGTCCTATTTCTCGGAGCGAGCAGCCAGGGTCGCGTGCCCAACAGCTGACGATGGAGAAGTCACCATCGAGGTATCCTGCGGCGTTCCACAGGGTTCGGTGGTCGGTCCGACCTTGTGGAACCTTACGTATGACGCGGTGCTGCGAGCCGATCTACCGGACCAGGCGACGGTCATCGGTTTCGCGGACGACACGTTGATCATCGCCTCCGGCAAGACGGTCGAGGAGGTGGAAGATAGAACAAACCGAGCTCTGTGTGCGGTGGCAGCAAAGTTCCGGGAGCTGGATCTCCAACTCGCCGTCGAGAAGACGGAAGCGGTGATGATCAGGCGCAGGTACAAGGTTAGCGATCCGCGTATCTTCCTGAACGGGGTAGAAGTTAAGCTGGGAGAGACGATCAACTATCTAGGAATGCTAGTCGACCGCAAGCTTAACTTCAAGCAGCACGCCAAAGCCGCGGCGGTCAAAGCGCAGGGTGCGCTCACGTCGTTGACTAGGCTTATGCCTAACATCGGCGGCCCCCGTGAGCCAAGGCGGAGGCTACTCGTCAGTGTCGTCCACTCCATTCTCCTCTACGGAGCACCGGTTTGGGCCAGCGGGCTAAACCAAGCCAGAGTAGGGGAATTGAGGAAGGTGCAGCGCAGAGCTGTACTCCGCAGTGTCTGCGCGTACCGCACCGTGTCGTACGACGCAGCCAACGTGCTGGCTGCGATACCGCCGATCGACCTGCTGGCGAGGGAGCGAGAAGAGGCGTTCCGCCTCCGCCGGCAAGCAGAAGAAGGATCCGGACAACGGGCCCCCCTCAGGACTGCTACCCTCGGCAAGTGGGAGGACAGACTTCGGACAGCAACAGGAGGTGAGTGGACGAGAACGCTCGTCACTGACCTCCGGAAATGGGTTGGACGGAAGCACGGGATGATGGGCTACCGCCTAACCCAGTTGCTGTCTGGGCATGGGTGCTTCAACGAATTCATCCACAGGATCGGCAAAGCATCCAGTCCAGCATGCTCACACTGTGAAGGCATGGTGGACAGTGCCTATCACACGCTAGTGAAGTGTTCGGCCTGGGAGTCCCAAAGGCGGGACCTCCAGGACGTCGTCGGCGAAGTTGTCCCGGAGACACTGGTCGCCAACATGATTGCAAGCCCTGATGCGTGGAACGCGGTCACCCGCTTTGCCGAGTCGGTCCTCAAAGAGAAGGAGGAAGCAGAGAGGGCTAGACAGCGGCCGGCCAATTGAGAGCCCCGGCGTGCAAGGGTAGCGTGTGCGCGCGTCACTGGTCCGGAAACATTCCACCGACTGTACATAAACCTGTATAGACTAATAAACTTGTAACTAAATTTCGTTGTGGCCTAATGTGAATATTGTTATTAGGCCACCACCCGAAGTGGGTGTGTTAGTTTTTAAGTTTATGGTTGTATTTATTGTTTAGTATACCCAATACATGGCATCAGAGACTGGGGGGAAGTAATTCCTCACAGGGCGCGTCCCCCCCCCGGTATTCTATGGGTGCATGTGAAAAAAAAAAAAGTCTGTAACATATGTATTACTATTATCAAAACTGGAAACCCCCCCCAAAAAAGTATTCATCATTGGCAATAGATTCTATTGGTATAACAGAAGCCCAGACGTGACACACGGGTTCATTTCACCTATAATTTAATCAATCGGTGTAGTCAGGATTTTGTTTAATGGGAGGGCTGATCTTCGATTTACACAGAATGCACACTTATATAATATACACATATCTATACAGAGCGATCAACTTATTGTGTACAACTCCTTATGTCACTGGGTTAATTAATAATTTTTGGAATAGATAAATTAATAGTTTATATTTTTTTTTATTACCTCAATAGTTTAATCTCTATATTAGTTTTAATTTATTGTGTAATTTTTTAATTACTAACATACATGGTGTAATGTAAAGTTCTACCGAGCTTCAAATGAGACTCCGGATGATTTATGGGTACAATAAAAGGTGTTTATTTATTTTTAATTTTTAAAATAGAACTTGTATCTTATTAACAAATTGTCAAACGAAAAAAATAAGTTCAGATTTGAAATCGGGAGAAAAAATCTTGTTGAATTGATATGTAACAAATTTTTTTGGTATCTGGCCACACTTGCGTCCACCGAGTGGCCACTGGGTGGCCGGCATGTGACCAAAACCAACATATGGCATGTGAAACATTGTTTTGAGTAAGAATTTTATTCTCAAAACACCACTGTTCTTAGAAGTATTTTATATTACATGATGTGTCGCATGCCATATTGTGTTGGTTTTAGTCACATGCCGGCCACTCAGTGGCCACTCGGTATTTGCTTTGTTGACGGCGGGACGATATTTAAAATTGACCTTAAATCTTCAATAGATAATAAATGTTTATTTTGGCCAAATAAAGTAAATCCAATTGGCAGGAAATACATAATGCCGTTCGTATTGTTTAACTATACGTGACAAATTAAAATATAAACAACGATTTTTAATATATAGTTTATTGTGTGAACAATAAACAATATAGCTTCAATCAAACAATACAAATGTATTATAATTTACAAGTCATCAATGCTTCAGTTTTATCGATAATGTTTCACCTCTTCTATGAATTCAGTGATGATCGCGTTTAGTGTATTGTCGTTATCTGCATAATATTCAACAGTTCTGAATTCCTTCATGGCCTGCATGTGCATTATTTTTTCTTTTGTTTTATAGAATAAAATATCACGTGCTTTTTCATCTTGGATTATTGAACGTTTTTCTGCTGCTCCAAGAAGAATTTGGTCCCTGGCCTCGGCAACCCAGCCAATAAATTTTGAGTCTAGTTGAAATTCCAAATCTGTATACAAACAACATTTCAGGTTTGGTCTGGTCATTGTACTGAACTAATAAATATTAGTTAGATATCATATTGTAATATATGTTGGCGTAAATCGGAAAACAATCATTGGTGGAAAACGGACTTGATGATAACATACGTATATAAATAATTATTTTTAAAAAAAATGTTTGTCTAAGATGTACTCAAGGGGATTGTATGCGGCCTGTTTTTAAGGAGTTTTCTAAAGGCAAAATTTACGAAAAAAAGAGGTTTTAATAAATTTCGACCATGTCGTATTTTAATTTATAGGAAAATGTGTAAAAGCTACAAGGTATTTCTTTTAATTTAAAACATTTTTTTTTATGAGTAAAAGCAATTTTGGTTTATTTTAGACCAAAATGTCGACTACATAGACGGTCCGATTTTAATTCTTGTAATGAGATTCGAGTTCTTTGGCTACTTTACTATGTTATGCTGTTAGCAGAATCTTATTCAAAAATTTCAATTTCTTGTAATTTAATAAATACAAATTGAAATTTTTTCAATATTAATACTCGATATTTGTTTTATGAGTAAACGGGTGTGGGACGTTAATAGAATTACCCGGTATAACATTTTCAAGCTGGCTTGGCAGCTCATTGTTACGCAAATTTCCACAAAGTTACAGACATTTATAAGTTTGGGTTTTAGAAATTGATAAAATTGACAAAGGTTTGACTTGAAATGTGTTTTTCAATAGGCGCATTCTTCTAAATTTAAATTTCTCTTAATATACTCTAAATCTACCTTTTGTGATAATTTTACACTTTAATTTCTACTATTCTAAAAAAGTACATCTTTTAGAGATCTTTTTGAATTTAATACTTTCGGTGATATGCTCTCTCGGTTAACATTAGTCTCTTCAGTATTGAAATTGGATCATTTTAACACCCTTATTTTCGCTTTGCTTATTAGAGAAAAATAATTATTTCAATACTCACAGGCTTTTATAGAATTATCATCGTTTATAAAATCTTTGTTTTCCAAAAAATCAGGAGATGCTGTCGATTCTAATATTCTCTTGGTCGATCTGTGAGCTAATATTCTCTTGGTCGATCTGTGAGTCAACATCTGAAAGACCTACATTTAAGTATTAGTATTATTACTAGTATAACATTGAGTTCTGGTCGACTGTCGTCAAATGCCCAATGTATTAATGTACACTAGTTTTGCAGTTTCAGTTAAGATAGGTCAAAGAAAATGTATTATGAAATTAAAGAGGCTCCGGAAATCATTAGTGATTGACCTATATAAGTACGAACTAGTTATTATATATTTACATTTATTATATAGCTTTTTATAGATTGGTGCAAGGTGTTTGATGTCTCTGATGTCCCTGATGTCTCGCCGCCGCTTGGTACCATGGGCAAACTGTTCAAAGAAACCTGAAAGACATACACTAATATTAGTAGTATCGTACACATTACAAGCAGTATTATTATAGATATCACAAAAGAGTTCGAACATCTGCTGTTGTTCAACACAATATCATCTAAATCTAAAAATGAATGTTCAATAAAATCTAAATTTTTTAATTGGAGATAGGTCAAAGAAAATAAGTTGTAGGTATATTGATAGGAATTTGTCAAACTAAGCACTAATTATGAAATATTTGAAATTAAGTCCAAAATTTATAATTACTTACAATAAGACCGAACACTGCAAGTAGCGTAACATTCGTGTTGATTTTCATCGTAAATACCTAAAACAATAAAAAGCTCATCAATTTGTAGAAATAATTATGCCAATTTGACAAATTAAATAACTTTTGTTCTAGTGAATATTTGTATGAATATTTATATAATACTCATTAGCGCTATTAAAACAACGCATTTTTTATTGAATAATAGAAATTTTTTTATTAATTATTTTTTTAAAAGTTGTTTTTATTAAAATGACTATCTTGAACCGAAAAAAAAGAAAAATGCAAAATTAGTATAGTGCAATTAAATACATCATCGCCTAAATAGAAAAAAAAAATTATTTAAATATGCGGTTATTGATTCTATTTGCATATTTCTTGTATATTTATTATTATATTTTTTTATACTTTAATTTATTTTATTTAATTAAAAAAGGTTAATTGCTTCGCTTTAAATTTTAAAAATTGTTAGTCAATTATTTTTAATTTACTATTTTTCTGAAAAAATGTAGGTGTACGATACAAAATGTTCGGAAGTTGATAGCTCTAAAAAATGCTCTTGACAATTTGGATACTTTATAAAATTAAAAATAGTAAAGTATGATCGTTAAATTGTAAACGTTACAACATTTTAATTATTTTTCGAGGAAAAAAAATATAAATAGGTTTCGGTTGTAATGTATATAATATATACCATTGTCTCACGAAAAATAATTTTAAATATCGCTTACTTTTTTATGTTTGTTAAACTTCACGCAAAGAAACTTAAAAACACACTAATACTGTTTGTGGTATTCGGGTTGCCTTTTGTTGGTTAGATTTGTGACTCTTCGCAAACATCATATTTATTTAGAGTGCCTGTAATACTAGGTGTTTTTGTATTTACTTAGGGCATAAGCTATATTCAAGATATTACGACGATAACAACCTTCTAGACCAATCGGATTCAATTTTTTACGATTACATATTTACGTTGAACGTAAATATTGATTTTACATATTATAACACTGATCTTTTTTCCACCTTTAAAATTTATATTTAAATTATTATTGACATTTAAAATTGACCATAAATCTTCAATAGATAAAAATTGGTTATTTTGGCCAAATAAAGTAAGTTCAATTGGCGAGAAATATTCCGTGTGTATTGTTTAACCATACGTGACTAATTAAAACAACGATTTTTCATATAGAGTTTATAATGTAAAAATAAACAATAAAGCTTCAATGAAACAAAACAAATGTATTATAATTTACAAATCATCAACACTTTTGTTTTATACATAAAATTTCACATCTCCTATGAAATCAGTGATGACCTCATTAAATTCTTCGTCAGTATCTGCATAAAATTCTAAAGTTTTTAATTCATTCTTGCCCTTCTTCTCATTTATTTTCTTTTTTGTTATATCGAGTAAAGCCTCACGTGTTTTTTTTTCTTGAGTTAATTGATTTTTTTCTCTTACTCCAAGAAGAATTTGGTCCTTGGCCTCAGTAACCCATGCAATAAACTCAGGGTCTAATTGAAATTTCGAATCTGTATACAAATAATATTTCAGGTTTGGTCTGGTAATTGTATTCAGTATTGAAATTGGATCATTTTAATACCCTTATTTTCGCTTTGCTTATTAGGGAAATATAATTATAATAATACTCACAGTCCAATACAAAATTATCATATTTTAAATCATCTATTTTTTTCAAAAAATCCGTAGCTGTTATAGTATCCATTACAGCCTGGGTCAATTGTTCTGGATTCTTGTAAGTCAAAATCTGAAAGACCCACATATTGGTAACAGTATTATTACTAGTAAACATACAGTTCTTGTCGACTGTCGTCAAATACTCAATGTATTAAAGTGCACTAATAATGAAGTTTTACTTAAGATAAGTAAAAAAAAATGTATTATGAAAATAAAGAGGTTCCAGAAATCATAAGTGCTTGACCTAAATAAGTACAAACTAGTTTTTAAATATTTACGTTTATTATATAGTTTCTTATAGATTTGTGCAAGGTGTTTGATGTCTCTGATGCCCATGATGTCTCGCCGCCGCCTGGTACCATGGGCAAACTATTCAAAGAAACCTGAAAGACGTTCACTAAAATATTAGTATCGTATACTTCACTAGCAGTATTATTAAAAATATCACAAATGAGTATCACAAAAAATATCACAAATATCACAACTTTGATAAAATATTAACAATTATTGATTTTTGGTTTTTATTTGTTTTTTTTGGCAAAAATTAATGTTTAATAAAATCTAAATTTTCGTGTGAAGATAGGTCAAAGAAAATTTGTTTTTTTAAATTTCAATCGCTTTTATTGTGAACATACAATCTGTAAAAAATGTTTAACAGTAAATATTTTTAAACAACAATTTACAATAAAATATGTACATGAGTAGCATGAGGAGAAATCCCCACGATAGGGGCATCACATAGAATATTTGTTACGAACCTATAAGAAACTTAATAGCTTGTGTGATACCAAGATTGATATCATACATTTATGACTGATGATTGATTCACTGCAGTTATTTTCAATCATATTTTATACAAAAAGTAAAATCCTATTAAATATGCTTAAAATAATATGAAATGATGTTTATTTCTATTTAAAAATAAGAACATACCTATGTAGTTTTATACACTTGAATATTATTATAAAACGAATATAGAGATTAAACTATTGAGGTTTTTACTAAAAAGAATTTAAAAGCTAATATAAACTATTCATTTTTCTATTCCAAATATTTACGAAAACAATAATACTTAGCGGTAGGTGTAATAAAATATTGAGAGGAAATCCATCTAAACATTAATAATGAAATAGTTGAAATTTAGTCCAAAATCTAGATCTACTTACAATAAGGCCGAACAAATACACTGCAAATAGTGCATCACTCGCGTTGGATTTCATTCTAAATATCTAAAACAATAAAAAACTCATTATTTTTTATAAATAGTAACCTTAAAACAAAAAATATGTAAAAACAGTTAAGTGCAAATAAAAACATCATCGCCTAAATAAAAAGAAAAATATTACTTATTTATTTTTTATTATTTATTTAATTTTACTTTACTTTATTTGATTTCATAATTATAAAAGTTTAATTCCTTCGCTTTAAATTTTAAAATTGAATAATTCTAATCCTATCGACCAGTAAAATTTTTCATTTACTTAATTTTAATTTACCAATTAAAAACGAAAAATACAAGTATAAAATACAAAATGTTCAAAAGAGGCTCACATTTTGAAAACAAGTCAACGAGCCGTGCGATTTAAGAAAAATACTTGGTTTGCTATTCTCCTAAAGATCACACCGATGACGTTAATCTACATTTTTATACATTTTCCACAACATGTTTGTGCCTTAAACACATCTGAAAAGTCATAATCAACAGCGATTCGCAAAAAACAGGACGCGAAAACATGTTATTGTGTTCAAATAATACAAAAACACATCTGGAAACGAAAATATGTTTCGACAAGCGTTTTTTGTAAAGTTACAAATTTATAAAAAAAAATTCAATGTATAAAAAATACAACCCCTCAAATCTTGGACACACTATTTTTTTATTCTCCGTGTCCTAAATTTCCCCTTCTGTAGTTCTGAGCCAACTGGCTTGTCAAAAGTTAAGGGGCTGTCACATATACTAGATTTTAAGGCTTTCGTTGTGGACACTATTGTCTGGAAAAACTACATTTAGATTGTTATTTTTACATTAAATGTGTTGATAATACATCAACCTTGTTTGAACAAATTATAAAAATTAAATTTTAGGCAAACAGCTTAAATCAGATTGATTTGCAAATTTTCCATTTGTTAATCATTTTTTCTTCTATTCAAATGCCATACCGATGTGATGTGTTTACAGCACAAACATGATGCAGAAAAATTACAAAAATGTAGGATAACGTTGAGATCTTTAGCAAAACAAAAAATTGAATAATTTTGGGAAACTCTTTTTAGGATTCATTATATGTGATTAAAAATTAAAGTCTTGTCAATAATAGTATATCGCATGGTTTAATCTATATGTATGTTTAATGTACAGGTTTCATGGATTTGTAAACTATCCACCAAATGGTTGTAATTAAAACTAAATTTGTATCTTTTATCTTTTTTTCAACAAATTTGAATTGTAGTATGTTTCTTTTTACACCTTTGTTTAACAGAAGTCATAAATATAGACAGGGAAATATAGGACCCAGAAAATAAAAATCAATTAATAAAAAATAAATAGTATTATTGTGAAAAAAGTGTGGGGCGTTTTTCAAGAACTGATATATGTAGCACCCCACGCTTTTTTTACAATAATACTATTTATTTTTTATTAATTGATTTCTATATTGAAAATTATTTCTACTTTTTAGTTTATTTTACTGTTTAAGCGTGTTTTTTAGTTTTTTTTTAACTATATTTATTTTGCACTTTTTAGTTCGTTGTGCTTTAAAATCGTGTTTTTTAATTCTAGTACATACGTGTCTCTATTACTTGAAAACTTCAGGTAAACAACAATGAATACACGCATGTACGTTCGGTTGCCTATCTCTTTTAGTTACATAGTTACATACAAACGTACATACAAGTGAAGCTAATATAAGCGTGTTAAAAATACAATGTGCCTAGATTTTGTTAGATTTATACCGAATATAAATTAAAGAGGGCAACTTTTTTTTATTAATTTGTAACATTATCCAAATGTGTATTTTTGCACAAAAACATGCGGTCGCAAGCTCATTATGATTGCCAAAAAGATTAAAAGTTATGTCATGGCGGTGCTGTTTATGCGAATTGTTGTTGTTTTACCAAAAAATATTTTGAATGTCTATATGTGTTAACGGCATTACTAAGGCACAAACATGCTGTGAAAATATACTATGACAGGATACGTTATCGCTATGATCTTTATTCGAATAGAAAAACCTGTGTATTATAGTAAATTTGTAAAAAAACATCTTTATATTCGCATGGTATTATTAAATGGTATTATTATACGAATATAAAATATATTTTCAAAAAATATTTGCCAAAGTGCGAGAGGCTGATTTTTTTAAAAAGGTTGTGATAGTCTGATTAAAGATTGAACTACAAATAAAATATCCTCAATACTATCATAGTTAATTTAAAAATAGTTTTAGATCAACATAGTGTTTATTCAAACAGTACTGTCTACAACGAAAGCCTAAAACACTAGTATATGCGGCATCCTCTTAACTTTCGACCTGCTAGTTGGCACAAATGTCATAATATACTCAATAATCATTATTAAGTTTATAGCTGTAGTTTTATGAGTTTTTATTCACTACTATAATCTTTTATTAGTTACTACATTTTTTAACAACACATTTATTTAATTTATCCGATATTTATTATAAAAATGTTTGCAAGTTCACTTATTAAATTCAAAAGTTGAAGCTAAGTTCAAAAACTTGCATTTAAAGACTATTTGAACAATGCAACTAAATGAATTTTAACGGTTAACCGTACTGCATACATTATAATTGCTGCTTAAAAACTATACAGAAACATATGCATACAGATATGGGAATTTCGAAGTACAAATTTATAAAAAATTTCGGTGATGCTACTATTTTTGAATCTTAAGATATAAAACAATTAAACGAATGTCTAAAAAGAAATATAGGTACAATAAAATATATACATTAAACTATGCGATATTATATATTTAGCCAGACAGTAATTTTTAACCACGCATAACTAATTATAACAGAAAACTTTATTTGCTGGATCCTATATTTCCCTGTCTGTAATTATGACACGTGTGCCAACTAGCAAGTCGAAAGTTAAGAGGATGCCGCATATACTAGTTTTTTAGGCTCTCGTTGTAGACAGTACTGTTTGAATAATTTGTATGTAGATCTTAAATTATTTTTACATTAACTATGGTAGTATTGAGGATACTTCTCCAATAATAATATTTAATATCATCATGCGAATATAAAGATGGTTTTTTTTTTTACAAATTTACTATAATACACAGGTTTTTCAAATAGCATAAAGATCACAGCGATAACGTAGGTATCCTACATTTTTGTTTATCATAGTATATTTTCCACAACATCTTTGTGCCTTAGTAATGCCGTTACCACATATGGACATTCAAAATCGATTTTGGTAAAACTACGAAAAATATTTGGTTTACATGTGTTTATTCGCAAAAAGATCACCATCTGGCAAAAACAGCACCGCCATGACCTAAATTCACGACCATAAATTTTTTTGCCTAACGTTTGGAAAAAACAAATGTATAATAAAAATACAAATTTATGAAAAATACAACCCTTCAGTTACACTCTTTAATTTATATTCGGTATAAATCTAACAAAATCTAGGCACATTTTATTTTTATTTTCTGGGTCCCTGTAAACTAGGGGTTAGTCTAACAAATTCTAGGTAAAGTGTTTTTTTATTATTTGAGCACAATAACATGTTTTTGCGTCCTGTTTGTGCGAATCGCTGTTGATTTGACTTTTCAGATGTGTTTAAGGCACAAACATGTTGTGGAAAATGTATAAAAATGTAAGATAACGTCATCGCTGTGATCTTTAGGAGAATAGCAAAACAAAAACACACTTCGACTGCCCCAACGAAAAGAGTCGAATTTCGTTTTTTGCAACTTTTTAGGATGAACCAAACAAACATTCAAATTTAAATTCTTATTCTGTTTTTATGCCTAAATACACATTTAAAAACATAAATATGTTTTCAACGAGCTTTTTTTTTTTTTGGTAGAAAAAATACATTTTTCGTAATGTTACAAATTAATATAAAAAGTTGCCTATTTAATTTATATTCGGTATAAATCTAACAAAATCTAGGCACGTTGTATTTTTATTTTCTGGGTCCTATATTTTCCTGTCTGTAATTATGACTTGTGTTAAACAAAGGTGTAAAAAGAAACATACTACAAATAAAACTTTGTTGAAAAAAAGATAGGAGATATAATTTTAGTTTTAATTAAAACAATTCGGTGGACAGTGTACAAGTACATGAAACCTGTTCATTAAACATACATATATGCGATATACTATTATTGGCAAGACTGTAATTTTCAATCACATATAATGAATCCTAAAATAGAGTTTCCCAAATCTATTAAATTTTTTGTTTTGCTATTCACCTAAAGATAGCAGCGTTGACGTTATCCTACATTTTTTTATATTTTCCACAACATGTTTGTGCCTTATACACACATCTGGGCAGTCAAAATCAACAACGATTCGCACAAACAGCAACCGATGACCTAATTTTTTAGCTATCAAAAATACTTGCGGCAACATATTTTTATGTTCAAATAATACTAAAAAGACATCTGGAAACCAAAATATGTTTTCGACGTGCGCTTTTTTCTGAAAAATACGTTTTTCGTAAAGTTTTGTAAAGTATATTCGGGGTTAATCTAACAAAATTTAAGAGAAAATATTTTTTATTTTCCGGGTCCTATATTTCCCATTCTGTAGTAGTTAAGAGCCAACCGGCAAGTCGAAATTTAAAAGGATGCCGCATATACTAGTTTTCAAGGTTTTCGTTGTAGACAGTATTCTTTGAACAAACTCTATGTAGATCTGAAATTGTTATTTTTTTTTTACATTAATGATGATAGTATTGAGGATACTTGATTTGTAGTTTCATTTTTTTAACGTTTTTGATAACGTATACTGTATTTTTGTTTATCATAGTTTATTTTCCACAACATGTTTGTGCTTTAGTAATGCCGTTAACACATATGTTGTGCTGTCAGAGCTGACATATTGACACACATTGTTTATACAAAAAATCAAATAAGAAAAAAAAAAGCTGTATATTTTAGGTTTTCTATTAGGGTTTCCACTTTAACGTTGTAAGTTGATTAAAGCCATTTTATATTTTTGATAGCATGTTACTGATATATCTTTAAATACCTATATAATAGTCGGTCTCAAAATTTTGTCAGAACAAAAGCACTTTATTCCACTAAAATGGCTTTTACTCATAGAAAAATGTATGTAGTCGAAACTAATAAAACCAATTTTCCTTAAATATTGCCTGTGTAAAACAACTTGAGAAACAGCCAATTTTCAATCTCCTTAACAAAAAATATTTGTAAGGTAAATAAAAACTTATTTTAAATAAGTAAGACTCATAACTCATAAGCTATCTTTAGGGCCATATATGATCTTATTGTTCTTTTTTTCCACCTTTAAAATTGATATTTAAATTGATGTTGACATTTAAAATTGACCTTTAATCTTCAATAGATAATAAATGTTTATTTTGGCCAAATAAATTAAATTAAATTCACGGAAAATATGCCGTGTGTATAGTTTATCTATACGTGACAAATTAAAATAAAAACAACAATTTTTAATATATTGTTTATTATGTAACAATAAAGCTTCACTCAAACAAAACAAATGTATTATAATTTACATGCCATGAATACCTGTGTTACCTTTAAAACGTTTTATGTCATTTATGAACACAGTGATGATCTCATTTAGGTCTTCGGGTTTTGCAGTATATTTTAAAGTTTTTAACTCATTCTTGGTCAGCTTTTCTTTTAATTTTTTTTTTGTTATATCGAATAAAGTTATACGTGCTTTATTATCTTGGTTTATTGAATCTTTTTCATCTACTCCAAAAATAATTAGGTCCTTGGTCTCGTTAATCCGTGCAATAAACTCTGGGTCTAATTGAAATTTCGAATCTGAATACAAATAACATTTTAGGTTTGGTCTGGTTATTGTATTAAAATAATATATATTAGTTATATAACATATTGTTATATATGTTGGCGTAAATCGGAAAACAACCATTGGTGGAAAACGGACTTCATGATAACTTTCGATTGTAAAACATTTATTTAAAAAAAAAATCTTTCCAAAGATTCACTTAAGGATATTGTATGCGGTCTGTTATTAAGGAGTTTTGTACAGGCAATATTTACAAAAAAAAGAGGTTTTAATAAATTTCGACCATGTAATTTAATTTATAGGATAGCTGTAAAAGCTACAAGGTATTATTTTTAATTTAAATTATTATTTCTATGAGTAAAAGCTATTTTGGTTTTATTTAGACCAAAAAGCCAGCCAAAATAACAACTGCATAGGATGGTCCAAATTCAATTCTTGTGAAAAGATTTGAGTTCTTCGGTTACTCTACTATGTTGTGTTGAATGCTGTAACTCATTCAAAAATGCCTACTCCTTGTAACTAAATAAATACGATTTGAGTCGACATTTTTGTCTGGCTTATTCGGCTTAAAATGACTACTGTAAAAAAAATTTTCATCAATCAACAAGTATTTGAATACCGGGTCATTCTCTAATGCCTTACACTAGTTTACTCTTAAAATAATTGCAATTTTGTAGTGTTTATTTTTGAAAATTTGTATATTTATTCTATAGTACTGTATGCGATAATACCTATTTAAATTTATACCTTATTAGTATTTTCTTGAGCTTTATTAGATTTTGAAGCTCAAATGATAACTGCTATGTATGTAAGTAAAATGTGCTATCGGTTGTCAATAGATTATGCACCAATAGTATTATCTGACATCTGTTATAATTTATATATTTATATATATACACCACAATATTATATTTTGTGTCGCCGTCGAGCGTCAGTATTATCAATAAACCAGTCTAACCTTGTCAATGCGTGCGTTCAGTACTTTGTTAGTTCAGTTAAGATAAAACGTCACAATAACGTACACATATTTTGAACTTTTTAAATTAACAATAATTAGCTGACCATTTTGTCTGGTCGATAACCACTTTTGAATGGATAGTTTTAATATTATTAAAGTTTAAAATGTAGGAAGGGTGGAGAGTAGAGTTATTCTTATCTCAACCGCACAAAAATATTTATTCAAAACTGGTTATCGACCAGTTCACTTTTTCAGTAAATTATTCTTAATTTATAAAGCTAACTAAAAATATACGTGCTCATTTAAGTTTTATAAGTTGATAAGCCTATGGCAAATAATAAAAAAGATAAAAATTTAAATATTGTCTCATATAGTTATACAGTTTAGTCAAAAATATGTTTAAAAAAAAACACTACAAATTTGCAATTATTTTAAAAGAATTACCCAGTAAGTTTGGTTTGTAAGCAAATACAACTGAGACTTGAAAAAATATAAGTTTCCTAAAAAATTCAAATAAAAGAACAGTAGTCTGCAGTATTGAAATTGGATCATTTTAATACCCATATTTTCGGTTTGCTTATTAGAGAAATATAATTATTCTAATACTCACAAACTGTTATAAAAACGTTATCTTTGAAATCATCTAATTTTTTCAGAAAATCAGGATCTTTTAAAGTATTTAGTACAGCCACGGTCAATGCATTTCGATCATTGTGGGTCAAAATCTGAAAGACCAACATATTAGTATTAGTATTATTACTAGTATAACATACAGCTATTGTCGACTGTCGACAAATACTCAATGTATTAAAGTACACTAGTCTTGCAGTTTTACTTAAGATAGGTCAAAGAAAATGTATTATGAAATTACACAGGCTCCGGAAATCATAAGTGCTTGACCTAAATAAGTACAAACTAGTTTTTATATATTTACATTTATTATATAGTTTCTTATAGGTATGGGCAAGGTGTTTGGTGGCTCTGATGTCGATGATGTCTCTTCACCGCTTGGTACCATTGGCAAACTATTCAAAGAAACCTGAAAGACATACACTAATATTAGTAGTATCATACACTTCACTAACAGTAACATTATAGATATCACAAAAGCGCGCAAGCATATGCGGTTGTTCAACACAATATCATCTAAATCCATTGATACAGGCACAATATGTGGGTTACATATTTGTTACACACACTTATAAGTTTTAACTTTAATCAAATATTAACAAGTATTGATTTTATTATTGTTATTTTTTTTTGGAAAAAAATGTATGTCCAAAAAAAAATCATAATTTTTGAATGGAGATAAGTCAAAGAAAAATTGTATTTTTTTTTAATTTTAACCACTTTTATTAACATAAAATAGTGGCGTTAAAAAATAATACTTAGCGGTACGTATAAGAGAATTTGAGGTATTATAATAATATTTAGGTATATTGAGAGGAATTTATCAAACTAAACATTAATAATGAAATTTTAAAATTGGTTTTTATTTTAAAAATTTAAATCGTTTTTTATTAGAATATATAATCTGTAAAAAATATTTTATAGTAAGTATTTGTGAAACAAAATTTAAGATAAAATATGTACATGATTAGCATGAGGAGAAAGCCCCACATAGACAGGGGCACCACATAGATTATTCGTTAAAAACGAAGCTCTGGGAATTTTAGCGATTACCCAATATTATAGGGAAATTAATAGATTGTGGGATAATAAGATTGATATCATACATTTATGATTGATTCACCACAGTTATTTTTAATCATATTTTATATAAAATGTGAAATCCTATTAATATTCTTAAATCATTATAAAATTATGTTTATTTCAATTTAAAAATAAGAACATACCTATATAGTTATAACCATTCGCATAATATTATAAAATTAATATAGAGATAAAAATAATGAGGTTATTACTAAGAAAAAAAAAAAATAATATAAACTATTCATTTTTCTATTCTAAATATTTACGAAAATAATAATACTTATTGGTAGGTATAAGAATATTAAAAGGAAATTATCCAAACTATACATCAATAATGGAATAGTTGAAATTTAGTCCAAATTGTATATTTACTTACAATAAGACCGAATAAACACACGGCAAATATTGCAACACTTGTGTTGGATTTCATCGTAAATACCTAAAACAATAAAAAGCTCATCAATTTGTATAAATAATTATGTCAATTTGACAAATTAAATAACTTTTGTTCATGATACAATACGTTAAGAAGATAGTAGTGTTCTAAAAAATTCCGATGAATGGTTAAAGATTTGGATACTTTATAAAATTAAAAATGGTAAAGTTTGAACGTTAAATTGTAAACGTTAACACATATTATTTTTTTTTCGAGGAAAAAAATGTATAAATACTCGTATGTTGCAGTTGTAATGGTTTTATGTTGGCAATAAAAAAAAAATAATTTTTACATCTAAAGAAAACCATTTATGTATACCATTGTCTTACGAAAAATTATTTTAAATATCGCTTACTTTTTTATGTTTGTTAAACTTCACGCAAAGAAACTAAAAAACATACTAATACTGTTTGTTGGTGTTCGGGTCGCCTTTTGTTGGTTAGATTTGCGACTCTTCGCATACATCATATTTATTTAGAGTGCCTGTAATACTAGGTGTTTTTGTATTTACTTAGGGTATATGCTATATTCAAGATAATACGACGATAACAACCTTCTAGACCAACCGTATTCAATTTTTTACGCCTTACTTTGTCCGGTCGGTGTACCTAATGCAGTACTTAGAAGAATGTAACACACCTAAAGTTATATGGAGAGTACAGAAAAAAATAGGCATGTTTTTTTGATTAAAAACAATAATAGGACATTTTTTTGTATTTTTTAAATATGTTTTTTTTAGATTACAAAAAAAGGACTTTTGGTTTTTTGTTCCTGTACTCACATCGAGCCCAATGCGGAGGGAACAACTCTTTAACAAGTGTAAAATAAAGTTGGGAACAAACATATTTTTAAACAGTTTATTTTGCTGTCCATGGTCTAAAGATGAATCCCTACTATTTATTTTAAAAGTAGAATTCTTATTATATGTTCTTCACGCCTTAAGACATTAAACTATAACTACTCTTGTCATTTTAATCAGTTTTTATGTTTTCAACAATCATTTTTTATTCAAGTTTGAATCAATGTATTTGTAAAAAAAATAATATCAGCGTGTTAAAAACCAACGATACATTCTGTATCTTCTTGAAAAAAGGAAAATGACTGTGAACAACGCAAATTTTTAAGTTTTAACCTTGACAGAATTGTAATACTTGTAATACAAACACAGTTTTCATAGAAATCAAGTTGGTTTTTGGACACATCTTGTATTAATATTTGATTTCTACATTTTTCATATTTTCATGTTTGAACATTTGAATTTGATGGCATGATAGTATACCATATATTGTATAAAATAATAATTATAAATGTTTATATCGGGAAAATTGTGTACAATAATTATGTATCTTAACGTTCAAAATAGTTATTCACCATAGTTTTTGTAATATAGTTGAAACATTTGAATAAACAAACGACATAACAAAAATAGTTTAAGAAAACCAACTTGTTTTCGATATACAACAAACCATAACATAATATCGTATGGAATTGTTTGAATATTTTGTGTGATAGAACACAAAATTAAAGCTATACAAAAATAGTGGAAAACAACTTTATAAAATGTAAAAAAATGTATCGTTTGCTTATGTGTAAAAAAAAGGTTTAACCAATGATTATAAATAGTATTTGCAATCAATGATTTAACTAAAATTGTAATTCAAGTTTAAGAAATAAAATACTTTTATTAAACATAAAAGGGTCTTTTAGATATAAAAAAGTATTGCATGTGTATGTATATGAGCTAGATTAATGACTTTTATTTCAACTACCCAATATAGCGATTAAATTGTATTTAATAATTGCTTATTGTTGGAAATTGTAGTAACTTATAAGATTGTAGTAGTGAATAAAAACACATAAAACTACAACTATAAACTTAATAATAATTATTAAGTATATTATGATATGTGTGCCAACTGGCAGGTCGATAATTAAGAGGATGCCGCATATACTAGTGTTTAGGCTTTCGTTTTAGACAGTACTGTTTGAATAAACACTATGTAGATCTAAAATTGTTTTTAAATTAACTATGATAGTATTGAGGACATTTTATTTGTAGTTCAATCTTTTATCAGACTATCACAACCTTTTAAAAAAAATCAGCCTCTCGCACTTAAGTACATCTTTGGCAAAGATTTTTTTGAAAATATATTTTATATTCGCATAATAATACCATGCGAATATAAAGATGTTTTTTTACAAATTTACTATATTTCCCATTCTATAGTAGTTAAGAGCCAACCGGCAAGTCGAAATTTAAAAGGATGCCGCATATACTAGTTTTCAAGGTTTTCGTTGTAGACAGTATTTATTGAACAAACTTTATGTAGATCTGAAATTGTTATTTTTTTTTTACATTAATGATGATAGTATTGAGGATACTTGATTTGTAGTTCCATTTTTTTAACGTTTTTGATAACGTATACTGTATTTTTGTTTATCATAGTTTATTTTCCACAACATGTTTGTGCTTTAGTAATGCCGTTAACACATATGTTGTGCTGTCAGAGCTGATATATTGACACACAGTGTTTATACAAAAAATCAAATAAGAAAAAAAAAAGCTGTATATTTTAGGTTTTCTATTAGGGTTTCCACTTTAACGTTGTAAGTTAATTAAAGCCATTTTATATTTTTGATAGCATGTTACTGATATATCTTTAAATACCTATATAATAGTCGGTCTCAAAATTTTGTCAGAACAAAAGCACTTTATTCCACTAAAATGGCTTTTACTCATAGAAAAATGTATGTGGTCGAAACTAATAAAACCAATTTTCCTTAAATATTGCCTATGTAAAACAACTTAAAAAAAGCCCATTTTCAATCCCCTTAACAAGAAATATTTGTAAGCTAAATAAAAACTTATTTTAAATAAGTTAGACTCATAACTCATAAGCTATCCTTAGGGCCATATATGATCTTATTGATCTTTTTTCCACCTTTAAAATTAATATTTAAATTATTATTGACATTTAAAATTGACCTTAAATCTTCAATAGATAATAAATGGTTATTCTGGCCAAATAAAGTAAATACAATTGGCAGGAAATACATAATGCCGTTCGTATTGTTTAACTATACGTGACAAATTAAAATATAAACAACGATTTTTAATATATTATAGTTTATTATGTAAAAATAAACAATAAAGCTCCAACAACCAAACAAAACAAATGTATTATAATTTACAAATCATCAACACTTGTGTTTTATAAAAAAATATTCACATCTCCTATGAAATCAGTGATGACCTCATTTAGGTCTTCGGTATCTGCAGTAAATTTTAAAGTTTTTAACTCATTCTTGTTCAGCTTCTCTTTTAATTTTTGTATTGTTATATTAAATAAAGCATCACGTATTTCAGATTCTTGGTATCCACCAAGACGAATTTGGTTCTTGGCCTCAGTAACCCGTGCAATAAATTCTGGGTCTAATAGAAATTTCGAATCTGTAAACAAATAATATTTCAGGTATGGTCTGATTATTGTATTTAACTAATAAATATTAGTTATATTATGTTATATAACTATGTATGTAATATATGTTGGCGTAAATCGGAAAACAACCATTGGTAGAAAACGAACTTGACGATAACATTCGAATATAAAACATTTGTTGAAAAAAAAATGTTGCCAAAGATTTAATTAAGGGGATTGTATGCGGTCTGTTATTAAGAAGTTTTGTACAGGCAATATTTACAAAAAAAAAAAAGAGGTTTTAATAAATTTCGACCATGTAATTTAATTTATAGGATAGTTGTAAAAGCTACAAGGTATTATTTTTAATTTAAAACATTATTTCTATGAGTAAAAGCAATTTTGGTTTTATTTAGACCATAAAGCCAGAAAAAATAATGACTACATAGGATGGTCCAATTTCAAATCTTGGGAAAAGTTCTTCGGTTACTCTACTATGTTATGTAGAAAGCTGTATCTCATTCAAAAATGCCTATTTCTTGTAATTAAATAAATACGATTTGCAATTTTTTAATACTTAAATCCGATTATTTTTATAAAAAAATTAAAAATCTCTTTCCTACATAACCTAGTTAAGTTGTCAGTGAATTCTTCTATGTATCTTTACAGAATTGAAATCGGACCACTCTAAGTAGTCGACATTTTTGTCTGGCTTATTTGGTCAAAAACGACAACTGTAAAAAAAACCCGCTTTTCTTTAATCAACAAGTATGTTGAAAACCGGGTGATTCTTTAACGGTTTACGTGGTCATTTAAGTTGTATAAGTTGATAGAGCTATAGCAAATTATTTTATGAGTGATCTGATGTAGGGCGTTCAAAAAATTACCCGATAAGTTTGGTTTGTAAGCAAATACAGCTGAGAATTAAAAAAATATAAGTTTCCTAAGAAATCCAAACAAAGGAACAGTAGTCTGCAGTATTGAAATTGGATCATTTTAATACCCATATTTTCGGTTTGCTTATTAGAGAAATATAATTATTCTAATACTCACAAACTGTTATAAAAACGTTATCTTTGAAATCATCTAATTTTTTCAGAAAATCAGGAGCTCTTATAGTTTTTTGTACAGCCACGGTCAATGTGTTTTCATCTTTGTGTGTCAAAATCTGAAAGACCCACATATCAGTATTTGTATTATTACGAGTATAACATACGGTTCTTGTCGACTGTCGTCAAATACCCAATGTATTAAAGTACACTAGTCATGCAGTTTTACTTAAGATAGATCAAAGAGAATGTATTATGAAATTAAAGAGGCCCTGGAAATCATTAGTGCTTGTCCTATATAAGTACGAACTAGTTTTTATATATTTACATTTATTATATAGCGTCTTATAGATTCGTGCAAGTTGTTTGATGTCTCTGATGTCCCTGATGTCTCGCCACCGCTTGGTACCATGGGCGTACTATTCAAAGAAACCTAAAAGACATAATATATAAGTACTAACTAGTTTTTATATATTCACATTTATTAAATAACTATATAGTTTCTTATAGTTACGGGTAAGGAATCTGATGTCTCTGATGTCCCTGATGCCTTGCTACCGCCTATTCCCATAGGCCAACCATTCAAAGAAGCCTGGAAGACATAAACTAATATTAGTAGTATTATACACTTCACTAAAAGCAATATTATAGATATCACAATTGTTTTTTTTTTAATTTTAACCACTTTTATTAACATAAAATAGTGGCGTCAAAAAATAATACTTAGCGGTAGGTATAAGAGAAATAGGTATATTGAGAGGAATTTATCAAACTTTTTTTTAATTATGTACAATAAGCGTAACTGATGATGGATAAATATAATTTTGCTAGATTTCTTGATTGGAGAAAACACCCAGTGGTGGTACTCCGACGTGTAAGGTTAGTTGCTTTATACTACATTAGGATCTTAGGAAATCTCTCGGCCAGTTTCGCTTAAGTCTACTTGCAGGATTGCCAGGGAGATTGGGAAAGGATAGATTGGAAATTAGTGTGTTGGTATGATTGAGGAGGCTTCTGTTGAATCTTCTATAGGATTCCGTATGTCCAGATTGGTTTCAGGAGTGTATTGTATAATAGAATTTTGGACTTTAAATTAATTTTGGAGATTTTTCCGAGAATATATTTCAGGAGGTTTAGGCGGTTGTTTAGTTTGATTTTTGTTTCATGAATATGTTTTGCCCAGGTCAGCCGCTTGTCAAAGAAAAGTCCTAGGTACTTCAGATGATGGGCGACTGGTATTACGTTGTTGTTTAAGAAAACAGATGGAGGTATACCGCTACGCAGGGCAAAGGTTGTATAATTGGATTTAGATTAATTTGTTTTAACATGCCACTTTGAATACCAAGGTGTGAGAAAGTCTAAGTGGTTTTGTATTGATGTTGAGACTATCGTTGGATCATTATGAGTTGTGAAAATGACTTTGTCATCTGCATATTCTGCAACGTTAGTGTTTGATTGAGTTGGTTGATCAGAGGTGTAAATATTATGTAGCGTAGGAGACGCGACTGAACCTTGGGGGACGCCAGCTAATATTGGCGAAATATTGGAAAGCACTGCTCCAGATCTGACAGCGAAGTGTCTTTCGCTGAGATAAGATTTGAAAAATAAGTTATATGGTTGTGCGGTAAGGTTTTTAATTTATATAAGAGCCCTGGGTGCCATACTTTATCGAACGCTTGCGAGACATCTAGGAATACTGCAGACGTATAAAGCTTCTTTTCTAGCGAGCTGGAAATTGTATCTGCAATTCTATGAATTTGATGTATTGTTGAGTGTGATTCTCGGAATCCAAATTGGTATCGGGAATAATTGATTTATCTTTAATAATTGGATATATTCGTTTCAAAATTAGTTTTTCGCATAGCTTGGAGAAAAAAGGAAGGAGACTGACGGGTCTGTAAGATGATGCTTGATTTGTTGGGCTTTGAAAAAATAATTATTATTGAGGACTTCCATGGGATTGGAAAGTATGAGTGTCTTAGAGTTGCGTTTAGTAAGTGTGTTAGGTGAATGATTGCTTTCGGTGGAAGTTTACGAGCTACTCCGGGTGTTATTAGATCGAATCCGGGAGATTTACCCAGAGGGAATTTCTGTGTTACTGCCTTCACTTCTCTGGGAGAGAAGTATTTTGGTGGTCTGTCCATGGGTAGTGGAGATTGCAGAAACTGGTTGATTTCTTCATCGCTAGTGGTGTTGGGTGTGTCAAAGGGCTTGAAGACATTGGATAAGTGTTCACAGAAAGTCTCAGCTTTTTCTTTATCATCAATGGCTAAGCTGCCGTCTTGTTTAATAAGGGGAGATGAGCTTTGTTTAATTCTTAATATATTACGGGTCGTTTTCCAAAGGGAGTTATCTTTTACGGATAGTCTAGATGTGTGTTTAGCAAAGTCTTCAGATCGTTGTTTAGCTAGCTGTCTTTGAAGAAGCGTCCTTGTATGTGTCGGGATTAGGTTTTGCGCCGGATTACGATTAGGTTGTTTTGGCGAGGACGAGCTCCGGGCTGCATTTCGAATGGTTTTTGTAAATATTTATACGGCATTGTCTAATTCATTTGGTGATTCTAGACGGGTATTTAGATTAATTTTTTCAGTAAGATTTGTTTGGAAAAGTGACCAGTTTATTTTTCCATTTATTAGTGAAGGGGGTGGTGTTTTTATCGGTGGTTCTGTATTAAGAGTTAGAATGACTGGCGAGTGATCAGAGAGGGGATGTGAAAGATTTTCTGTCCAACTGGCTATACGTTTTGGTATTTAGCTAATAAATATATCTAAGATATCTGGTCGTTTTCTTGGAGATGTCGGCCAATAAGTTGGATTGTCTGGAGCAATGATGTGGTAGTTTAATGTATTTGCTACGTGGAGGAGGGTATTACCTCGAGGTGAGTTGGAGTGGCAGCCCCGTTGTCTGTGTTTGGCATTTTGGTCACCTCCTATTGTGAAATTGTTTCCCAATGTGTTAATAAACTGATGAAATTGGTTTACAGTTAATTTATGCTTTGGTGGGCAATAACAGGAGGTCAATGTGATAGGGGAGTGGTCCAATGTTAGCTGTATAGTTGCAGATTGAAGGTAGTCTTCTTTTTGTTGTGAATGATAAATCAAATTTTAACTAGATCTGACAAGAATTGCTGCACCAGCGTGAGATGTGTTATCCGAATGGTTTGTGTGGATTATTTTATAGTCTGGTATGTAAATTTTCATTGATTCAGTTAAGTGTGTTTCGGATATTAAAGCTACGTCGATTCTTTTTTCGTGAAGGGTTTGTTGTAGTCAGCTAGATGGTTTTTTTATACCGTTGGCATTCCAGAGAAGTATTAGTAGTGATTTTGATGTCGGAGAATTATTTGTCATTTTGAGAAATCAATTTGTTGAGTACTGTAGTTAGGAGGAATAGAAGAGGATTTATTATAGCTTTGAAATCGTTCAAGAAATTGGTAAGTAGGAGACAAGTACCATTACAAGTTGTGGTAGGAGTTTCATAATCTTGGTTAGCTGTGATTTTTGCATATAAAGGTTTTTGAGAGGTTGGGTTGAGGTTGGGTGGAGTTTGCGCGGGTTGTGTGGTCTTAAGTGTATATTCGTTATTTTTAGTAAATTGATGATTGTTCTCGTGATAGTTTGAATGGCGCAGTTTTTGAAGTTCAGTATTCTGCGCAACGGACGCATCTAGCTGGGTGTGCACAGTAGGATTTTGTATGCCCGTATTCTTGGCAGTTTAGGCACTGTATGAGGTTATGGCGCGGAATTTATCAAAATAAACATTAATAATGAAATTTGAAAATTTGTTTTATTTAAAATTTAAATCGCTTTTTATGAGAAAATACAATCTTTAAAAAATGATTTAAAGTAAGTATTTAAAAAAAAAAATGTTTAATAAAATATGTACATGAGGAGAAAGCCCCACAATAGGAGCACCACATAGATTATTCGTTATAAACTTATAGAGGCTCTGGGAATTTTAGTGATTGCGCAATATTATAGGGAAATTAATAGCTTGTGTGGTACCAAGATTGATATCATACATTTATGATTGATGATTGATTCACCACAGTTATTTTCAATCATATTTTATATAAAATGTAAAATCCTATTAATCTCCCTAAGACTCTTCAAACATTGTGAAATTATGTTTATTTCTATTAAAAAAATAAGACCATACCTAAATAGTTGTATACATTCGCACAATATTATAAAACTAATATAGATATTAAAATATTATAATGATATAATATTAACTATTCATTTTTCTATTCCAAATATATACGAAAATAATAATACTAAGTGGTAGGTATAATAATATTGAGAGGAAAGGATCAAAATCAACATTTATAATGGAATAGTTGAAATTTAGTCCAAATTGTATATTTACTTACGATAAGACCGAATAAACACACTGCAAATAGAGCAAAACTTGTGTTGGATTTCATCGTAAATACCTAAAACAATAAAAAGCTCATCAATTTGTATAAATAATTATATCAATTTGACAAATTAAACAACTTTTGTTCTAGTTAATATTTTTACAATTTTTTTAATGATTTATATCCAGTTGTTCTTAATAAAAAGTCTATCTTGAACATAAAAAATGATATAAAAGTGTAAAACCATTAAAGTGCAATTCAAAACATCATCACCTAAATAGGAAAAAAAATATTATCTAAATATGCTGTTATTCATACTGTTGTCGTATTTTTTGTGTATTATTATTTGTGCTTTACTTTATTTGATTTAATAATTATAAAAGTTTAATTCCTTCGCTTTTAATTTTATAATCGAATAATTCTAATCCTATCGAACAGCAAAAATTGTCATTCACTTATTTTTAGTTTTCCAATTAAAAACGAAAAATATAGGTACATGATACAATACGTTAATGAGATAATAGCCTTTTAAAAAATATCGAAAAATAGTTAAAAATTTAGATACTTTATAAAATAAAAAATGGTATAGTTTGAACGTTAAAATGTAAACGTTACCAAATTTTAATTATTTTTCGAGGGGCAAAAAATATAAATATGTGTCAGTTGTAATGGTTTTATGTTGGCAAAGAAAAAAAAAATATTTTTTTACATCTAAAGAAAACCATTTATGTATACCATTGTCTTACGAAAAATAATTTCAAATATCGCTTACTTTTTTATATTTGTTAAACTTAACGCAAAGAAACTAAAAATCACACTAATACTGTTAGTGGTGTTCGGGTTGCCATTTGTTGGTTAGATTTGCGACTCTTCACATACGTCGTATTTATTTAGATTGCCTGTAAACACTTGGCGTTTTTGTGTTGACTTAAGGGAAATATGCTTTATTCAAGATATTATGACGATAACAAACTTCTAGACCAATCTGATTCAATTGTTCACGCCCTACTTTCCACCACTTTGTACTAGTCGATACGTAAAGCGGTACTTAGAAGAGCGTAACACACCTAAAGTTATGTTGAAGGGTACAGAGAAAAATAAGCATGTATTTTTGATTAAAAACAATAATAGGGCATTTTTTAAACATGTTTTCCTTAGATTACTAAAAAAGGGACTTTTTTGTTTTTTGTTCCTGTACCCTTCGCGTACTCACATTGAGCCCAATGCGGAGGGAACAACTCTGTAATAAGTGTAAAATAAAGTTGGAAACAAACATATTTTCAAACAGTTTATTTTGCTGTCTATGATATAAAGATGAATCCCTACTATTTATTTTAAAAGTAGAATTCTTATTATATGTTCTTCACACCATCAGACATAAAACTATAACTACCCTTGTCATTTTAATCAGTTTTTATGTATTCAACAAACATTTTTCATTCTAGTTTGAATCAATGTATTTGTAAAGAAAAACCAACGATACATTCTGAATCTTCTTGACAAATGACTGTGAACAATGCAAATTTTTAAGTTTTAACCTTGACAGAATTGTAATACTTTACAAACACAGTTTTCATAGAAATCAAGTTGGTTTTTTGACATATCTTGTATTAATATTTGATTTCTAAATTTTTCATATTTTCTCGTTTGAACCTTTGAATTTAATGGCATGGTAGTGTACCATACTGTTAAAGATATTGTTGCAAATAATAATTATAAATGTTTACATTGGGACAATTTCATACAATAATTATGTATCCTAACGTACAAAATAGTTATTCACCATAGTTTTTGTAATATAATTGAAACATTTGAATAAACCACTTGTTTTCGATAAACAAAAAACCATAACATAATATCGTATGGAATTGTTTGAATATTTTGTGTGATAGAACACAAAATTAAGGCTATACAAAAATAGTGGAAAACAACTTTATAAAATGTAAAAAAATTTATCGTTTGCTTATGTGTAAAAAAAAGGTTTAACCACTGATTATAAATAGTATTTGCAATCAATGATTTAACTAAAATTGTAATTCAAGTTTAAGAAATAAAATACTAATTATTAAACATAAAAGGGTCTTTTAGATATAAAAAAGTCTTGCATGTGTATGTATATGAGCTAGACTAATGACTTTTATTTCAACTACCCAATATAGTGATTAAATAATTGCGTATTGTTGAAAATTATAGTAACTAATAAGATTGTAGAAGTGAATAAAAACACATAAAACTACTACTATAAACTTAACAACAATTAAGTATATTATGACATGTGTGCCAACTAGTAGGTCGATAGTTAAGAGGATGCCGTATATACTAGTGTTTTATGCTTTCGTTGTAGACAGTACTGTTTGAATAAACATTATGTAGATCTAAAATTGTTTTTTAATTAACTATGATAGTATTGAAGACATTTTATTTTTAGATTTTATATTCGCATTTTAATAACATTTAATAATACTATGCGAATATAAAGATGTTTTTTTACAAATTTACTATAATACACAGGTTTTTCTATTCGCATGGATATCATAGCGATAACGTGTCCTGTATTTTTGTTTATCTTAGTTTATTTTCCACAACTTGTTTGTGCCTTAGTAATGCCGTAAACACATATGGACATTCAAAATCGATTTTGGAAAGAACAGAATTTCGCCTTAACAGCCACAATCTAAATTTTTATTTTTATGGCTATCAAAATGAACTTGCGACCCCATATTTTTGTCCCTAAATACACATTTGAAAATAAAACTATGTTTTCAACGAGCTTTTTTTGTTGAAAAACACATTTTTCGTAATGTTACAAATTAATAAAAATAATTTGCACTCTTTAATTTATATTCGGTATTAATCTAACAAAAATCTAGGCACATTGTATATTTATTTTCTGGGTCCTGTATTTCCCTGTCTGTAATTATGACTTGTGTTAAACAAAGGTATAAAAATAAACGTAACACAATTCAAATTCGTTGAAAAAGATAAGAGATATAATTTTAGTTTTAATTACAACCATTCGGTGGACAGTGTACAAGTACATGAAACCTGTTCATTAAATATACATACATGCGATATACTATCATTGGCAAGACTGTAATTTTCAATCACATATAATGAATCCTAAATAGAGTTTCCCAAAATTATTAAATTGTTTGTATTACTATTTATATAAAGATGACGTTATCCTACATTTTTTTATAATTTCCACAATATGTTTGTGCCTTATACACACATCTGGGCAGTCAAAATCAACAACGATTCGCACAAACAGCACCGCGATGACCTAAATTTTTTGGTATTTTTTTACTATCAAAAATTACTTGCGGCAACATGTTTTTCTGTTCAAATAATACTAAAAAGACATCTGGAAACCAAAATATCTTTTCGACAACGTTTTTTTCTGAAAAATACAGTTTTCGTAAAGTTTTAAGTAGATTCGGGGTAATTTAACAAAATTTAGGAGACAATAGTTTTTATTTTCTGGATCTATATTTCCCCTTCTGTAGTTATGAGCCAACTGGCCAAACGAAAGTTTAGAGGATGCCGCATAATATACTAGTTTTTAAGGCTTTCGTTCTAGACAAAATTCTTTGAACAAAATTTATGTAGTTCTGAAATTGGTATTTTACATTAATTATGAATTATAATAGTATTGAGGATACTTGATTTGTAGTTCCATTTTTTTATCAGACTATCATTCCTAACCTTTGTTAATATAGAATTATTTAAAAAAACAACCTCTCGCACTAAAGTATATTTTTGAAAATAATTGTTATATTTGTATAACAATATTGAATATCATCATTCGGATATAAAGATGTTTCATTTTTTTTTTTACAAATTTACTATAATACACAGGTTTTTCTATTCGAATAATGATCATAGCGATAAGGTATCCTGTATTTTTGTTTATCATGGTTTATTTTCCACAACATGTTTGTGCTTTAGTAATGCCGTTAACATATATGGGCATTCAAAATCGATTTTGGTTAAACAACAACAATTCGTATAAACAGCACAGGCATGACCTAAATTCTTGTTTTTTTGGTTATCAAAATGAACTTGCGACCGCATTTTTTGGTCCCTGAATACACAACAATTTGGTGGATAGTGTACATGAAAACTGTTCACTAAACATACACATTTAAGTTAAAAAATGGCGATATCATATTTGTGGCCATACTGTAAGTTTTAATCACATTATATAATGAATTTTAAAAAGAGTTAAATTATTCAATTTTTTATGGACTGGGTAATTTGGTAAAATTGTCGTATGTATTTTTGTTATTGCATTCTTTATACTATCGATTTCAGTAAATCTGTGTTGATAATACACTTTGTTTGAACAGTTTATTAAAATTAAATTTTAAAAATGCAATTGATCACCAATTATCTGAAGAGGTTGGAAATAATGCTTAAAATTTAAATTAAAACCTATTCTTCAGTAAGGCAATCAGCTTAAATCAGATTGTTTTTGAAAATTCTCCATTTGTTAATTTTACTGTCTATTTAAATGCGACACCTTTCAAATGTACATAATTCGGTATAATGTTTTTATGATTGTTTTTACCGAAAATCAAATCAAATAATATGAAAAAAAAACGCTTTATATTTTCGTTTATTTTAGGTTTTTAAGAGCGTTTTTACTTTAAAGTTGATTAAAGCCATTTTAGCTTCGATGCAAAGCGAGAAGGTATTGGTTTTACTCTGATGTGGGCTTTTTTTTTCGCTGTATACACTGTAACTTTTTTAATACTAGACCAATTCCTTCGAATAGCAACTCTATAAATCACAAATTTTGTCTAGTTTGTATTTTGAGGGGGTAAAAGTTGAAAAAGTTTAAGTCTTCACAGACGAAAGTTGAAAAAACAAAAAAAAAACCGTACGAGTTTTTAAGTTAGAACTTTTACTGGCTATAGTATCGAGAAAAAGAGTCGGATCGAGTTGAAATGTATAAGAAATATTTTTTTGGTATGCCCGCGCACGTCAGTTTTGTCAAATTCAAAATATACCCATTTCCCGCCCCCCTAGGGGGGATACAAGTTTTTTTGTTTTTCGGGGTTTTTAGCCGTAAT